AAAGCTAACCCACTTACATAGCCCTAGCTCGTCGGCGTCGGCGTCTCGCGCTGATCGAGTAGCCGTACATAACTTAGCTAGGGCGCTAAACAAGCGTTTTGATCAAATCTTAGAAGTTAGCGTACCTATTCTATGTAAGTCGCGAGACCTTGTTATTCCCGGGCGTACGGAATTTCCAATGAACAACTCGTTGGCCCGTTTGTTCGTTCACTCGCGTCCAATGAATCGTCTCGCCTAGCGCTCAAACTGGGCTCTCGCCCTTCAAATTGTCTAGCGTAGCAGCCAAGCACAAACAAGCCTTTTCGCAAATGCAGAACCTGCATGGTGCGTCTACCAGAATGGCTCCCTGCCCTGCTTTACGCTTCTATCTTGGGTGCTATCTTTCGCGTTAATCTAACAGCAGGTACAGTACATAACACATGGATACTTTCATACATGTAAGTATCCATAGTGTACGTCTTGACAGTTACCTGTACGTATTGTATTGTACATGCATAAATTGTATGCTACGCATAATCTATGGTGCTACATACGTCAATTTATGTATGTACTACCGTACTATGGATGAAAGACCTGGACCCCGGCTCTCGAAGCTAGCCAATCGTATTCTCCGCTTTGGCATGTTATCTATCCGGATGCGGTAATCCACTTTCCAGAACCCAGAAAGCAGGGAAGGGGGAACAGGGAAGGGGAAAGCGCTGGGAACTGTGTGCTACCACGTGTGGGGGAGGACCTTCTCTGCTCCTTTTTTCGGGCACATGTTCATCGCTTTGCCTGCCGACGCGCGAAAAAGATTGATATGTATGAATAATGAATAATGGCAATTACAGTAATATCGCCGAAACCTCGACTGCCTATTACGGAGATAATGGATAGTGGATGAGGTTAGCGAATGACTCGTCTACATAGTAAGGAGACGTACATAGACGGTCGAAGTCATATTACCATATCAACTACCTACATACCTACACTCATACACATACACGTGTAGCAGTGGACCTTTTTCCCCCATGGCTTTTCGGTACCGACCCCGGCTAATAACTCACGTGTAGAAACTATATACGTATTATGCTTCAGGGCTTTCAGGGCTTTCAGGGCTTTCAGAGCTTCAGAAGCTAGACCGATGTGAATGGGCCAAACCCATCCCTTTTCCGCGCTTGTTGCCGCTTTTGCCGCATCGCCGGGCATTCCTCCTTCGATGCGGTTGGCAAGGGGGTGTTCCCTAGCCCGTGTGATTCGTGCCCGCCGTGACGATGGGATTTCTCATACATCTGTGATACGGAGTGATGAGATGGGTGCAGCTTACCTGCCCGGGTTTCTATTAAGCAAAAATCGGCGATCCGTCGTCTGAAATTCCAGACTTACATACTACGTACGTACCTGTCGCTTTCTATACGTCAACATATATACGCATCTATCTCATCTCATCTTATGCCATCGCGATTTCATTTACACCTGCGCGCGCGCACGCTGGGTGAGATCCCGCCAGGGTATCATCACAAGAAAAATTATCAGATCCCGTCGAGTAGCGCCGCGGCTTTACTCCCCTTTGGCGGGTGATCATACATACATAGATACAACCCCGACACGGTTGGATTTTCAATTGCATTGCTTCCACTTTACGTGGGGGGTTTTAAGGAGTTGGGGGCATTTGCCGGTGCTCTGCTCCGGCTTTCCAAACGCGAAGTAGCATCGGTTTATTACTAGTATATCTAGCTTTTCTGCTAGACCTCGGCTCTACTGCTACTGCGGTACTTGAGGTGTGTTGTTGGTTTAGCGGTTGACACAAGTGCATGATAGCTTACGGGGCGAGAGACGCGTGCAGCAAAAGGTGCGCTATGTAAGGATGAACCGGTCGTCTCCCATCGGCCAGAATAGCCCTTCTAGTGGGTATCTACAGTCACACGCACGCGCTTTCTGACGAGGTACGTAGGGACCCGTACATACGTGGTATACTGCAAGTCGAGATATCCCTCTACGCATACGCAATGTCAATCATCAGTGTCAATCATCAGTGCCAATCGCGCATAGTATTAATATGGTACCGTATAGTACGAAAGCTATACGGAAACGGACGTCTTCTACAACAGAACAACGTCGCTGTGATGGGAATAACGCCTAGACAAGGTTCTACCGGCTTGTCAGGTCCCCTTCCCTCCAAATCCCCTGCCCAGCCTGCAAGACAGGCGCTGGCGAGATGTCGGGCGCCTTGGCAACGATACGCCAAGCGAGCCGCATCTTAAGGAGGAAGTAGGCGAAAGATAGATTTCGAACTACATATATAGATCGCATTACCTAGCCTGTGCACTGCGAACACGGCACGGGCTGCAATGACAGCAGATCATGAGATGAGTGCCGGTGTAGGAAAGGTCCTACTAAGCCTATACCCATAATGCTATGGATTCTCGCCCTTCGCTCTGCCTTGCCGCGCGATTTCATCTTAGATGGACCAGATGCGCGTGAGATCTTCGGTCCCCAGCCGGACGTGGCAAAAGTCAGCCTAGCATAAGCGAGTGAGAAACGGGTGACCGTAGTGAGTAATGTTGAGTGTGACTTACTTCCCGTGTTGTAGTGTATATCCACGGTCTCGAAGCTGAGTCGATGAGATGTCCCGCCAAAGTCTTGTGTACTTCCTCGAGACTTTGCCGTCACAAATCCCTATCGCGACGCCATATTACCCGAATTCACCTACTCTGTTACCTTAACCGGTGACGAGGCCTTTTTCTAATCCCCTACCTTACCGATTGAATTATAATAATTAGAAACGATTGGGCTGAGCTATAATAACCAAATAACCTTGAATTTTGCTTTCTCACACCCTTCTTCTTTCGGCGAGAGTGTGTCATGCGGTCTGGTGGACGTTGGGTGCGTGCTGGTATCGGTGTGCCACAGGAAACAACGTCTTTTCTGTTTCGAGCTGGACGCATCGGGGCTTTGTTAGTTTACATACAGTGTCTCCTTTTTTACCACTCGTCTGGCCCGTCTCCGACGCACGGGGGGGAAAAAAAAGAAAAAAAAAGAAATGCCATGCCATGTCACCTCTGCTCCCCTCTATGTATGTATGTATGTATATAGGGCTGCTACGGTGCCTCCACCTAGACAGATGGATTGTACATGTCGTATGCATACCGTACGTACATGCACGCGTGTATTTGCATTACATCGTATGCACTGCCGTACATGGCCTGGCAGTCATATACCGGGAGCTATATAGTACCCAGCCCATACACGATAGTCTACACACTACGCACTACGTAGGTAGGTAGCAGTGCTCGAGTCTGCCGCGTAACCTCGATGCTGCATGCGAAAAGCTTGTTCCATCTTGGCTATTTGTTCCGTAGCGTTGGACCAGCTTGCAGTCCTGCGATGGCATGCACGCGTCCCGGAGCAGGGGGTCGATCTGCGGGCTGAAGGGTCGAAGGGAAGCGTTCTGGTGCTACGGTGGCTTGGGAGCTGGGACTGCGGCTAGCGATGGCTTTGCCGTCGGCGGCGATATGCCTAATATAATATAATATAATATCAAACCGTCGCATAGCTGATTTGTCAAGGCGCGGTAGATGAGAAAGGGAGGGAAGGGGAAGGGAGAAGGGGGGAAGGGAAGGCATAGGCATGTGATGCGTGGGGTGCGACACAGATCGCGCTCTATTCCTTCTTGGAATCCTTCGAAAACGCCACGGCTCAGGCTCGGCTGGGAGGTGCCGATGTTGCGCAAGGACTTGCGAGAAGTTGGTGTTCGGGTTGGCTGGCAGGTGGGGAAAGTATCGGATACTTCTAGGTTGGATCTATCTATGTTGTGTTGATAGGGGACGAGGCTATCGTGACCTCCTTTGCTTGCTTATCGTGCCATAGACGAGGTAGGCGAGATGCTCGCGTGAGAGCTTGCATGTGTCTGCCCCGCGGTGCCGACTTGACCCGGCGCTCGGGTGATGCCGGATTTCCGGCGCTGTGCCCGGTTCATCCCGGCTTAGGAGCGAGGTCCGAGACCTTCCGGGACTTTCCTCTTGAGACGGTGGCGGAGCGAGGGGGTTGATACCGGCGGGTGTTCGCTTGCGGATGCGGTAGACGGGCCGTGTTGTATATTCGGATAAGTGGCACCCTTTTCCGGGTCCTAGGTCTTTCACGCCGGACGGGGTCGTCTTGTTACGAACTCGGTATGCAGGTTATGGTTATGCTACGTCTCCTGTCGCTGTTGGATGTTGGGGACATTTCGCAATGCTTGTAGGCTATAGATGATATAAATGGCCTGGCATTACGTCTTGTTTATCTTCCGTGTTTTTGCAAATATGTGTTAGTTATACTATAATAAATTTATGCAGTTGCAACTAGCTATAGTTATATTGCAATGTACATTTTCTATGCGCGTATAGTGTCATAGTGTCATAGTGTCAGCCCGGACGTTTATGCTCTACCCCCTTTTTATGGGACCTGGGACGGCACGAGTCCTTGGGTGTAAGCGACAAAAGAATAAGGGGAAGGACACAGTCCAAAAGTAAATATACGATTGCATTTTGTTAGCCCGATGTATTGGGATTGACAGTACTATGCTCTTGAAGCTCATGGATAGAAGCTTATAATATCGTAACATGGTGATTATAAGTGGTATTTGCTAGTCTTTCACACCCTCTTAGTCGAATCACTAATCCCTTAAAAAGGATATATGTCTTACTAAAGATCCGCACTAATAATGCTAGATTTACGAGGGTTGATCTTTGAGTGCTTAGCTGATGTTGAAGAACTAGTTAGTTGAGGCATAATAAACGATATGCCACCAACCGTGCCTAAATATATACAGCAGACGTAATGTACTTAAGTGTCTAGCATACCCAAGATAATACCTCTCAAAATCTGTAAGAGCTAATCCCGGATGGTCTCGAGCGGACCGGAGTGGATCCGACCCATCTCACGAAGTCCGGCCGGTATACAAATTTTTTTTTCTTGCTCCCACCACTGTTTGTGCGCGACTTAATGCGCGTTACCGTTTGAAAAATCCATCCAAGCCCGGTCCCATAGCTCAGTTGGTTAGAGCGTCGTACTAATATCACCAATATAACTACTGGTAATATCTAGTAATGCGAAGGCCGGCGGTTCGAGCCCGCCTGGGACCATTCAATTTCTTTTTGGTCTTCGAAGGAGACTTATTCTCGATAGAATCATTTTTTGATCTGGTTCTATCAAAAAGACGTTTTTATATATCCTAGATCCGCAATAATCTAGGCTTGTTATGACGGGTAGGTAGACTTCGATTCTACACTTTAGAAATCATACGAGTGTTGATCCGGTAAATGTTCTAACAAGGTCATCTAAAACGTATTTAATAGCCTCTTATGAACGACTTGTGAAGTCTTGGGGAAGCACTGCCAACTGAGGGATGTTATGGCGCTTTATAGTCAGAGGAGCACGAGTAAAATCAGGACGTCGTCTTGGTTTCCGAAAGGTTGCAGTAAATACTAGAGCCGACCTGCATCATGTTTCGGCGGTAATAATAAACACCAGTTCTATTTTATAAATCTCAGCAGGACTGGCTCGTCAACTCCAGAGCTGCCAAACGATTGTCTCTGAAATTCGAAGTTGGTCGACTAAATTAAAGCTGATGCTGAAAAGGGGGATTTCTCCATTGTATTTTTCTATTCTAGTAGATCTACGGAATACGTGATATACAGTTAGCTATTACACTACGGTAAAAGAGGTTCGTAAAATATTACCTTGATGAACGGTCAACAAAGCTACGAGCTGTGCGCGTGGATCACTGTTGGCCCTTCCCTTAAGATGTTGAAGCATTATGCAGTTATATATCTAATTAATATACGAACTGGACCATGGTCTCGCGTAAGTATAGTTTGCTTGATAATGATGAATGGTTAATTTGTCAGTTAACTTATTACGTTGACTTCATACCATACGCAACCCAACCCCCTACTTAAAGTCCCTCCCCCTTTCTTCAATTATCCACCATTCCATCTTCCTCTTCTCACCCCCTTAACCCCTCCGCCAACGTCTCCACCACATCCTTCCCCCATCTCGCCACCCCTCCAACCCGCCCATTCCCAGCATCCTCCTGAAAACTCACCCTCCCACGCCACCAATCCAACCAGCTCTCCGCCCGCGCCCCCTCGTCCGCAGTCAGCAATCCAACGCTCACGTCGATGAGACCAGGGCGCCAGCGGTCGTGCCAAAAGACAGAGGCGCCGCAGCGCGGGCAGAACTCGCGGAAGACGCCGGGCGAGCTTTCGTAGGTGCGGAGGGGAGAGTAGGTCTGCCGAAGGGTGGGGAAGTCAAGCGGGAGGGCGTCGGAGAAAGAAGAAGAAGAAGAAGAAGAAGCAGCAGCAGCAGGCGGCTGGAAGAAAATATTGCTCCGTGGCACAAACGCCCACGTCTGGATCTCGAAACCAGCAGCTAGCTGGCAGGACTGGCAGGCGCACGTCCCGGCCATATACCTCGTCAAGTCTGGATTATCTTGACTCTGCGGGCGCAGCCACCATTTCTCATCGCGCGGGTTATCGACGGCCTCGCGCGGCGAGGTCGCGCCTGGGACTATAAGGTCCGAGAACCCGGACCGCGGGAGCCGGCTCGAGGCGTCGGGGCGTGTGATATAGAAGCGGACTGTTTTGCAGTGGCAGTGCGCTTCGAGGATACCCTTGCTGTCTCCGCCTCTGCTCTCGTTTATCCAGCCCTCTTCAAACGGCTCGGTTCCCTCGATGAGCTTGATAAAAGGGGATAGACCGCCGTCGTTAGTGCTGTCGGCATTGACATGTCTAGCATATCTCAGGAGCGGCTCTTCTTTGCCGTCGTCTACTTGTGCTAATTCATCGTCGACGCCGGCTCGTCCGATGATGGTCCCTGTAGCTACCTCCCAGGACTTATCGATTTCCCCATCGCCAACGGCAGAGTACCGGAACATATGGCAACCACAGACACCGCAGAAATAGCGCCGGGGAGTGGTGGCAGAGGGCTGCGCGGACTCGTCCGGATATGCGACGAGGTTGTCCAGAGAGCGCGGCACTTGAGTAGGCGCATACGATACGCACAGTAGACCGGAACTATGGCGGCAGTCGTAGCAGTGGCATAGGTCAACACCCAAAGGGCCGGATGTGGACTCATTGGTGCGCAATACTACCGTCTGCTTTGCAGCACCGCAGAGGCAAGAGATTACGACTTTGACATTACGCGACATCGAGGGTAAAGAGCTGACTATGTATATATATATATATATATATCAGTGTTGACTTTACCCAGGGAAGTTTGAAGTCATGGAAGCTATCAAGTTCATCCACGTATCCATGGGCGTCCCCCCGCACCTTTATAAATCCGATGAGCGATAGTCGGAGCTTGCCTCACGTATATATTTATTTAAATATCTGGACGGAACCTGCTGCGATTGGAAACATCATGCTACTCATCTATACGTCAGTATAGCGGAACTACGGCCCGTCAAGGCAAGGTACGGTAGTTGGAGGTTGGAGATACGAATAGCCCACCCTTTATGGACGATGACGCTCATCTTGACACTGCGGAGAGGATACGATGGTCATTTAATAGACGGCACATAGACACACATCAAAATCTTCAGATTAAAGGAAATAAGCTGCGATCAGCAGGTATAACCCACATGGTTCTAGTTTGTCTTCGCAAGACAATCACTCCAATATCCTTATCTCTTTTTGTTTGCGTTCCGCACCCCCTAAAGTTTTCCCCTTCCGTGATCTTCATTAATATGGTGGTATACACGAGTCTAGCGGACAACGCCGTTCGTCCAAGTAAACTCTCTACATTCAGAATGAACCAACATCAGTGGAGATTTTCTTCGCCATGACTTTGTCACACAATGAGACGTGAGGCTAAATCAGGAGCTAGATCGATGAACCGAGGCGTTCAAACCGTTGCCTCGTTACCCTCGCTAGCTGGCTTAGGGACAGATCTCTCGGCTTCCTTCTCACCATCCTTGCTCGACGACGCTTCCTGAGGGATAGGGTCATCTCTCACTAGCTTCTTAGTCTCCTGGTTAGCACCCTCAACATCAGGATGCGGTGGCGCGACGCCCGCGGCGGCAAGATCTTCTATTGGAATTTCGATTTCGTTGCCGTCGGCGTCGACGACGCGCGTCCTCGTTTCGTATTTGGTCTTGAATTCGACTTTGCCTTCGAGCGCCTTCACTTGCTCTTCGTTGAGGATGTTGCCGTCTTGGTCCCGGTATTCGACTCGCTCTTCGCGGTTGATCACTTTTTGACCCTGGGGTTCGAACTTGGGTGCCCCCGAGATACCTGCCTTTGGGGCGTCTTGGTTGTTATCAGCTGCGGGCTGGACTGGCACCTGGTTTTTGTTGTCTACAGCGGGTTGAGAGGTCTGGGCGATTGGGGCTGTAAGTCCTGAGTATGCTTCGTACTACACAAGAGATATGCATTAGTCTACCATCTAATTGACAATTTATAAATCCTGACATATGCACTTCGTATCTGTTTCCAAAATCCAAAAAAGGAGCAAGAACACGAACATCTAACTTCAAACTCGCTCTCTTGACGGCATGCCATGGGGAGGGATACTTACGCTCTCCAAGAAAGTATTGCAATCCCAATCCCAAGTGCTGAACAGCTTGACACGATTGCATTCTGCCTTTGTCCAGGTATTTCCGTATGCGAGGGGCGAATATAAGGCAAAGGCGACCGCGGAAACAGCCAATAGCGCAACTACACTGGCCTTGTTGATGATGGAGTTTCCCCTGACGCTTGCAAATCGGGCCGTTGTGAAGTCGATAAACTGGGAAAATGCTAGGACGGCGAAGACCAGCGCAGGGAAATAATGGTGAAGGAAGAGCTGGCGTCCCATCAAGAAAAAGGGGAAGTAGTGGAAAGCCCACCCGAGCACCCAAGTTCCGATCTCGTAATCGAATCGCTTAAAAGTGGCGTTCTCATAGTCGTTACAGCTGCGCTGCCATCGAAGGACCGCAATACCTTTGAAGAGCACGTAAATAACAACAGCAAGGGTCGAGGTGTACCATACGATGGGGTTACCCATTAGGTAGATCTGGCGGTGGTTTTTACCCCAGAAGTTGATACCACGGCGGAGGATCGGCCAAGACTCGGGACGAGAGTCCCAGGCATGAGACTCAACCAGACCTGCGTTAGTCTTCCACATAACCTTCTGCAGTTCCCAGAATTTGCCGAGGAACCCGGGGTTAACGTAGTTGACCTTCTCGGCATCGCTGGCTAATTGCGGATGCGCATTGGACTCAATGTACCATAAGCTGTTGGGAAGAGTGCCACCTTTGGCACAAGTAACTTCCTGCTGTTCAGATGCCCAATCCGGTAACTTCACCTTGTGAGAGAATAGGACGCAACCAGTCATAATGTGGACGAGTCTAAACTTGGTCTGTATGGTTCGGAGCCGCTCCTTGGCGATGGACCCGAGAGACTGCTTCTTGACAATTTCAACACGGAATAGATCGTTGGCGTCGCCAGCAAATCCTTCATATCCATATGCAGATACTTCATTCTGCCACTCGGCTTCACTAACAGGCGGTCTAACATCGTGAGAGTGAAGGCGACGATGAGTAGCCAGGTGATATAGTCGGATCACATCGCCATCCTTGATGTAGTTCTCGGTTATGTTCTTCGCATTATCCCAAGCGCCAGTTCCGTTGATAGGCTCACCGTTGATGTCTAGAGGCTGAGTCTGGTTCTCGAGCAAGAATAGGTTGTTGTCGTCCTTGTGGGGATAAAGAGTGATCTGCTGTTGCTGACTGCCTGTGGGGTACATTAGGGGATGAGAATGAAGATATCCTCCCTGGGTGTTGACATGTCGGATAGAGACACGGCTGCCGAAGGCAACATCAACAGGCACATCTTGCATGCCCTTGTTGTTCAACGTAGCCTGAAATTCAGAGCTCATAAATCCATCTCCGTCGCCAGGATTCGAGAGGCAAAGGAAGTGAATAGCGAATATACCTAGGTAGATGGTGATGGGAATGATGATCAAGCAGAAAGCACGGGCCAAAAAGTGCTTCGCAAAGATGCGAATGGTGACAGTCTTGGTGTCACCAAGTAGCACCCACAATTGTACAAGAGTCAAGGTTCCAACCCAGGCAATTGTGAAGAGGCCAACCCATTTGATGCTGAGTGTAATTCCCATTCCCACGCCGGTCATGAAAAGCCAGAACCACCAGCCCGCATCGAACGCCTTCGAAGGACCCAGTTCATGTTGGTTGGTGAAGGATGTGAAGGCGAGCGCAGTGAACGCGGTAGCGGCGACTAGGGGAGAATCGAGAAGAATCAGACGGGCTTGGGTGAGGAGACCATTCTCTGTGTTGCATGTAAGCACAAGGTCAACGTCAAATAGTTAGTAGAGAAGGGCTTACCAAAGATGAGAAAAGCAGCACCGAGGGCGGCCGTAGCCGTACGACAACCAGCAGCCTTCAGAGTCAAGAAGATAGTCGGGATCAAGGCAATACCGCAGATAGCAGGATATAGTCGCATAGCCACGTACGGGACACCCGGCTCTAGATAATCCTTGCCAATCTCCTTGAAGTCGAAGTCGCCGTTAAAACCAGCAAGCCACCCGAAAAGTGTAATGAGTAGCTTAGCCAACGGCGGATGGACGTCCATGAAGAATTTACCCTTGATATACTTAGTCGCAAACCCACCAAAGCTATAAAGAACATCCGGCATTAATATTGATAACCTCGGTGGCTATAGCCTAAGCAGGGAACTTACTGTACTTCGTCGAAGACGACACTCGAGGGCTGGTAGATGCGGAATAGTCGCACAACGGCACCAATAATGGTCAAGACCAGCATAACCTGGTAGTCAGAGAAAGGTAGTAAGAAGACATCGTTATCCTCGACACCTTCCGAAGTGTAGTCATCGTGCTTGACTTGATTCTTGGGTTTCGGAGGTGTGTAGGGACCGCCTTTTGTAGCGGGCGGCTTGGCCGAACTGGACCTCGCCATATTGAGTCGGGATGCAGGATGCGGGATGCGGGATGCAGGACGCAGCTGCAATAGAACTCGACGGGGTTGAATTGGGACAAAATGGAAAGAAAGGAGGCGCTTTGTGGCCTTTTCTTGGAATTACTCGCGTCGAAATTGCTTGTACGTGTAACAAGAGCTTTTTGCGTTACGCGGCAAAAAAAAGTATCACACCGAAGAAGTGAATTCAGGTTGATTAACGAAAGTCAAGAAGTAGAACTAATCATTATAAAACAATAGGATAATGAAAGTCCCATTCAAAAAGGCGGGAGAATTAAAGAATCGAGATGTTTCCCCCCCTTTAGTCGCAAAGTTGATCGCAGTTCGCAGTTTGCAGTGCGCAGTGCGGCGGGATGGGTTGTGGAAAGGGCTGAAGGGGGTTTAAAGGGGTGGTGTGAATAACGGCGTCAGAATTTATTTTGAGCTTTCGAGCAATCTTCAAAATTCATTTGCATGGTTAATCCGAGTAATAGTCTTGATGCTACAGTGGCCTCATCCGGATTGGCGGATTGCCCCAGGGGCTGATAGGTTGATAGGGTAGTACTGGATAGTGCTGGGTAGTGCTGGCTGCTCTTTCTAGGTAAGTAGGGTCCAAAAAAAGATTCAGCTGCCATTAATTCGCTACAAGCCTCGTGAAGTCGCGCTATGTATGCGCCTAAAAGTCTAGAACGAATTGAAATTCGAACTGCCCCCGCAATTCCGTAATTCACGAACACGAGTAACAGGTAAGTACAGGTGTTATCAGACCTAATATACATATCCCATTATCCCATTATCCCATTATGTACCTAGGTACCTAGGTAGTAAGAATGATACTAGCCTTGAACGCGTAATTAAAATTTCTCAAATTGGTTTACTAAATGAATCATATAGGTACCTCATAACGTCTCTGTTATAAGAAGTTGCAGCATATGTTGTATCGGTTTCAAGTTTATCGAGTTACCGTTATTTATTAGGTATCGGAAAGTCAAAAGCTAACGGTACAAAGCTTACAGTTTTAACACTAAGGTGCGCTTTGGCCAGTTCGATTGGCTAAATTTACGGATTATGTATTAATCCGATTACGGTACATGGATAAACCGACCTTCACGATATTTTGTTAGAGCTCTTTGCTGCGACATCATCGCGCAATTAGCCAATCCTTACTTGCTACAGCCTCCAGCCTCCAGCCTCCACAATCGCGTCCGCATCTACACATTTCGAGGGAGGCTCTCTGAAAACTGCCATCAATATGGCTGCGGATACTAATGGTGATGCAGTTGCAGTTTTGGATGACATCAAACCTCCACAGGGTGTTGTCTTACCACCCAAGGAATTCAGAGGTAGGTCGAAAGCATCATATTTTGAAGTTAGAAGTCGCGCTGGGCTAACCTATCTATAGCTATCCTCGAGAAGACAGCCGGCTTCGTTGCTCGAAACGGTATCGCATTTGAAGATCGCGTCCGAGAAAAAGAGAAGAGTAATCCTAAATTCAGCTTCCTTAGCAATGCCGACCCATATAACCCATACTATCTATGGAGGTTAAGCGAGATCAAAGAGGGCCGCGGCACTGCCGTAGCTGCAGGCAGGGTAGGCGAAGCCGCTGCTGTTGTCGAAAAGAAACCCGAAGGCCCTCCCAAACCTCCAGACTTCCAGTTTTCCGCGCGAATGCCCAATATCAGCGCCCAGGATCTTGAGGTTGTGAAGTTGACTGCGCTCTTCGTTGCAAAGAATGGCAGGCAGTTCATGACTGCGCTCTCGCAAAGAGAGGCCGGTAACTACCAATTTGACTTCCTGAGACCAAACCATAGTCTTCACAATTTCTTCCAGCACCTCATCGATCAATACTCGATGCTTCTACGAGCCGGCGGTATCGATGGCGAAGGGGGGAAGGTTCAGCAGGAGAGGATTGCTGAGCTACAGCAGAACATTGATGATAAATATCGTATTCTGAGTCGGGCGAGACAAAGAGCCGAATGGCTGAAACATCAAGAGGACGAGAAGCAGAAGAAGGAGGAGGATGAAGAAAAGGAACGCCTATCTTACGCACAGATTGACTGGCACGACTTCGTTGTTGTCGAGACCGTAGTCTTCACCGAAGCTGATGACCAAGCAAACCTACCCCCACCGACTTCCCTCTCCGAACTACAATATGCTTCCCTTGAACAGAAGGCTAGGGTCTCCGTCAGTGCTAACCTACGTATTGAGGAAGCGATGCCTACTGACGAAGACAACGCCTATGGCGGGTACGCAGCATCATCCAACTACAATATTCCTCATCATCCCGTGCAACAAGGAGCTCAACCCCCAGCTCAAGGTGCGTATCAGATGGCCCCGCCACCACGCCCCGGTGGTACTCACGAGGATGAGGAAGCACAGCGGATACGAGAGAGAGAGGAAGCTCGTTTACGTATGCAACATGCTCAGGCCGAAGCTAAGGGAGGCGCCGCTCCGATGAAGATCAAGGAAAATTATGTTCCTCGCGCGGCCGCGCGAGCAGCTAACCGACAAGGAACTCAGATGGCCCTCTGTCCAAACTGTCATCAGCAAATTCCGATGAATGAGCTAGAAGCGCACATGAGGATCGAGTTGCTGGATCCGCAATGGAAGGAGCAGAAGGCCAAAGCCGAATCGAGATATGCGACGACGAATCTGTCACATTCTGATGTTGCTAATAACTTGAAGCGATTCGCAAGCCAACGAGGGGACTTATTCGACGGTGTTACCGGACAGCCTTTATCTGAAGAAGAGATGGCGAGAAGAAAGCGAGCGGCACTAAATAGCTTCGACGGCAATCCGGATGGCCGGAGCCAGGCTCATATGAACCATATGCAGAGCGTGAACGTCGATGAACAGATTGCTCGGATCCACCAGAGATTTGCCAAGGACAATCAACAAGGCCATTAATGTCTAACCTAATGACCAGTGCGTCTGAACAGCTGGTTATGTGCTGATAGAGAGTATCGAGCATGGGAATTTGCGGATAGACGAAACGTACCCGCTACTTATCCTCACCTCAAAAAAACCCAAGCTTCTTTACGATCACGCCGCAAACTCGTGGAGGGAAATCGGGGGAGACGGGGCCAATCACTGGAATGCTAAACAGGTAAACAATACCCAAAAATTAATAGTTGGTCTATATTCAAATTGCTCATACTCTAATACAGCGCTGTGCTCCCCTGATCGTGTTGCTTTCGAATTCGTCGAAGTACCAGCTGGGCCGGACGACGGCCCCGTGTAAAACTAACTCAAGAAATAGTCCGCGTAGGACTGCCTGGTAAAATAAGGTGATTGTAAAACTCGTACTTGAAAAGCTACACTTGATGAGGCTCTAAGCGTTATATATCTGTATAGCTGTATTCTACATTGTAAACTAGTAGTAGGGCGTCTCTGGGATAAGGTAGCTTTGAATAGCAGCATAGCTCGGGTTGTTTAACATGATGTATTAACAAACTACATGCCTAGCACATCTCTACAAATAGTGACTGATCTATTACATAGGTACTCATATAATAGTTCTATTCTGCTAGGTATATTAAGTAAGTTTGTATCTATTCTACGCCGCACCCTGATCGTCATCCGACTCATCGGAGATTATACTCTCAACAATCAAGTTACCCGACCTGCCAACCGTATCCGCCAGCGTAGCAGTAGTATCCGGCTCGTAGACGACTCGGGGCAAGGGCGACGCAATCCGGAACTTATACTCATGCTCATAGCCCTCCGGCTCCTCCACATCGTCATCGAGCACCTCTCCTCCCTTGAGCAAGTCGTAGCACTCCACAAAAGCATACAGTTCCTCCACCGTAGTCGTGCCCGCGAACCGTCGCACAATCCGCCCGTCCGCTTCGTCGGGCATCTTGAGAGCGAGCCGCACGACATCCTTGGCAGAGGCTTCGGGCTCGGGGGCCACGGTACACGCGCGCCAGCGACGCCACTGCTGGCGCTGGGCGGCGCGGCGCTCTGCGGCTTTGGCTTCTTCTCGGGCGCGCTGCTCGGCCTCGGCGGCGGCAGCTTCGGCTTCCCTGCGCTGGCGGGCGCGCTCGCGATCGCGGGCTAGGGAGCGCTCGTACGCCGAGTCCTGCTCGGTGCGCAGGGTGCGGGCGACTTCGTGGGCGGCGCGTTCGGCGCGGGCGCCGGCCAGGTCCGGGGCGTACTTGTTGATTGCGGTTTGGATCTCGGCGAGGTAGGTTCCGGGGGGTATGGGGCCGGCTAGTCGCTTGACGATGCTCATGCGGGTGCTGCCCTCTTTAGGGGTCAGGCACACCAGGCATGAGAAGGGGAACTTGGTGCAGTTGTACTCGGCGGCGACTTGGTATGCCTCGGAGTCGAGGACGTTGCCGCCCCATAGGACGATGTTGTTGCTGGGCTCGTTGATGAAGCTGATGACGTCAGGCGAGAGCAGGGTCTCCCGCGTGAAGGATTCTGTGTCGTCGTGTTCGGGCGACATGAGCACTATTAGGAGGAACTTGAGGTCCTTCTTGGCTAGGTCGAGGGCTTGCGCGAAGCCGCCCTCAAAGAAAGGTAGGCTGTCGTTGTTGTACTCTTCTTCGAATTCCCGCTTGAACCGGGAGGCAGTATCGCGCGGCATCAGCATGCGCCGGCCCATGGTGCCCTTCCACCCGCTCGTCATGCTCGTGGTTATCATGCGGGGCCGTATGGATGCGGGCAGAAACGCGAATATGTAGATGAATGTGCGGAAGAGCGTTGAGACGGCTTTGTATCCGAAGTTGAAGGGAGCGAATAGGATAGACAGGATGAAAGGCAGGCGAGTGGTCGTCTGGGGTTGAGGCACTATCCTCGGTGCAGGATCTGGTCTGGCTCGTGGTACTGAACGCCCGGAAGACCGCGCGGATGCTGCGAAGCTTTCTTGTAGGTTTTCGTGTCTCGCTGCTTGTCGGGGAATATCGTTCTGAACGGCCATAGCTTCGGCTACGGGATCGGGACCTTCACCATCGAAGAACTTGGCTATTGCTATTTGCACGTTCCATTGCGACCTCTCTAACAACGGCACCGCATCCTTAACATCTTGTGCTGTGACCTGGGTGTACTGCTCGAGGGCCGATTGCTGCTCCGGAGAGAGCTGGCCTATATCAATATCGCCGTTGGTTGCCATCGTCTCGATGTGTACGACTAAGCCCAGGATAAAATTTGCGTGATTTGATATCAGGGCCCCATATGTCGTATAAATTAGAGATTCCTTCTAAGCCGATATCGTCTTTTGGGGTTGAGAGTTTGAATTATGCTAGGTTAGGTAGTTTTGAGGCCTCGAGATGCTATGTAACTTCTTCTTCTTCTTCTTGCCACTAGAGTCGTGTTATAGAACTTTTAACATGCCACTACCTGCAACAGTTTATCATTCCACCGGCTGAATATGGCTTTGAGGATTATAAAGGTGCCGTGCTTAGGTTGATGCTCAAGAAGCTGGATATGTAAGTTGATATGTAAGTTGGCAGACAAATGGAGGCCGGGGATTGTTAGGTTTGGTGGCCTTCCGGGCTGATAAGTCGAGTTACCTAATTGTACTATGTAGGTCTGTACATAGTGCGCAGGTACCTAGGTATGTAAGGTAAGTTTAAATACGTAGGTATTGCCCCGGCGGGACTAGCGTTAAATATAAAGTTCAAACTTTAAGCCTACAATAGCTTAGCCTTTGTCATAGATAGGATAGTACCGTGCATGAAAGCTTACGTATGTACCTTGTATATATTCTTGTTGGTTCCTTCGTACAATTAATTATTTCGCTGGACCTGGCCAGTGGCCACATACATACAAGTCTAAGCTCAAGGCTGAGAGAGAGGATATCTTGGCATCGGACGTCGGGACCAATTAGTTTGCTTCCGGCTCTTAGTAATCTTGCGCCGTCATCCCACTACAACTTCACTGCAACTTCTACTGACGTGCTTAAACACATCCGCATCGTATCTTTGTGCCCTTATCGTCAGCCTCACACTCGCCTCCTAAACCTTTCAATTGATACTTTCAATTGATACCCCACGATTACCTATAGTCCCCATCCCCTGTCCCCCGTCCTTTCGTCCTTGCTGCGCGTACTGTTTTGATTTATGGGCGAGAGCTCGCCCATTCTTGCCAGAAAAATGGGAGCGCTTTGAGGTGTCCAAGTACGTGACTCGGACTTTCTTCTACTCTTACACCCTCTTACATTCATTCTCTCGCGCTTACTCCCTCGTCCAACCTTACAAACTAATAAAATCTTCATATAACTAGGGGTTGTATCGACAGGGGCAGCGTATACTTTCCTCCTGACCTTGCGTAGCGACTACTCCATGCCGAAACTACGAGAATCTGCAACCTCTACCCAATACCAATGGCGAATACGCGGTTCGGCACTGCCGATAGAGGGAGGCAGATGGCCTCCCCGAGACCAAAAACGCGTGGTACGTTTTCAATCCAATGAGGTGAACGGGCGCGTCATAGACGTGCCTGCTAGCTAACTTACTCATCTCGATATAACTCCTATCACTCCTGATTTTGTTGACTTATACCCGCCCAGACAGCAAGGACACTCTCTGTCGAAACGTACTGATATATGGCCATTGCCGTTATGAAGATCAGGGATGTGCCTTCAACCATGATAAGGGCTCCTCTAATTCAATGGACAAGTGAGTAATAACGCTCTTCATTTGCTTTATACACCGAGTTTCATTCCCCGATGGCCTGGCTGGCTCCCTCTTTGATTCCGTTCGAGATTTCTACAGCGAAGCAAGAGCAGTTCTGTATAGAATCAAAGATACTTCAAACTAGGGCACGTAGAAATATTAGCCAATAAAAATAGCCGCTCGACGGTCGAGGCAATCGACATGGTAGGGTGGAAGTATCTGATCACTATTCGATATCTGCCGACCTCTACTAGAATTTTAGTCTTCTCGATTATCATAATTGCTATTTCTATTCTATTTAGACACAAGCAAAGAGGAAGATGTCTTTGGGCTAGTCGTTTTATAAAATAACGCTATACAATCCGAGGCAAAAATGACCTGGAGTTGGTGGAAAAGCCACGGGCGAGTTATTTCGGAGCCAACGGCCAGCTGTTCTCAACCATTACCCGAGCTTACAGCAACACCGCTGTCTCCTACCACGTCAACATATTCATCATATTGGGCTCAGCGATATTTTGGAGGCCGTAAATCCTTTTCGATGAACCCTTTAGTTACTAGCCGGTCCGACTTCGCGCCTCGCCTCTCGCCTCGTCCAGGTACCCGTATTACCGTAATTCCTGGTCGTTCTATTCAGCATGAAGAGCTCAACATGAGTCCTACTCACCGAAGTTACTCGGTTCCTTCGCGTTTGCCCTCGCCTTGGTCCGATATTCCACAATTTAGTGATGTGGCTAGCCCAAGATATCCAGCCAGCTTTCACGATTCTAGCGCAACATATCCCGCCAGTCTTGCTAACCCATTGTCTAGTGGTTCTAAGAAATCTCTAAATGTCGAATCCCCATCATTCACACCTACTCAACTTGGAGGCAAGAAGTCTAACTTCTCGACAAACGCTACACCTTTTACACCCCGGGGTGCCTCTGCATGTGAGAACGCCTGTTTTCTAACGCCTTATCATATACTTACCTGCGTGTTCAAAAGCCACAAATTCGACATTACAACAAGATACGGGGGTCTCGCTGTATAAATCGACACCGTTTCCAGATTTTACCCCCCAAAACTATGATCTAAATACCGCGGTAAGTCCAAGAAAGATGGCTTTTGGATTGGGAAGTTAACAAAGTTCAGACTGCCAGCAACGGTTCGGCGGATGGCGGATCCCTAGGCTATGATCCGTTTACCATGTCCAGTGTAAATCAGGCGCTCCCTTCAACGCCGTACAATCCATACGCCGAAGATCACAACGCCTTAGCCGGAACAGGTGCACCATATTATACCGCTCAAAATTCTTATGCGGCCCCGTCTCAACCTGTAAGACCCTGTTTATATATATATATATATATCCCGACCTACTATCTAACAGGCTATAGCTTCAATATCATCTCTATTACCCTATTACCACGGGGAGAGAGAGTATGCAGCCTTACCAGCGACAAGTATATGACTTATTCCTTCCAGAATCTCTCAGAGAAGACCTCCAGAAAAAGTCTGAAGCTACTAGACAAGTCCTTCCGAGTCAACCTGGAGTACAGCTGCCCTCTCTCCAACACTACCATTCTCTCGTTCCTTTAGATACCAAAATTCGAAGCACAGCTAGCACGTTTGGCCTTCCGAGTTGGGTATTCAAAGCAACCTCTCGCAAGAATGGGAACACATTCTGCTTGAGACGAATCGAAGGTTTGTCCCCAAATTGATTCAAGTAGATGTCGAACTAAATAGACGTTAGGATTTCGCCTCACCAACGAGGAAGCTATTAAAGCCGTGAATTCGTGGAAGAAGATTATACATCCCAATATAGTCACTACGATTGAAGCATTTACTACAAGAGACTTCAATGATAGCTCCCTCGTATTCGTTCATAGTTATCATCCTCTCTCAAAGACGCTAGCGGAGCACCACTTTCCCACCAATCGCTTCGGGCGTCCAGCAACCGTATCAGAGAGGGTATTATGGAGCTATCTTGTCCAGCTAGCTAGCGCTCTTAAGGCAATCCACAAGGCTAAACTTGCAGCGCGGTGTGTCGACATCAACAAAATAATCTTGACGGATAAAAATCGCATTAGGCTTAGTGCATGCTCGATTCTAGATGTTCTGCACTTTGAAGTACCTCGTCGGCTTGAGGAGCTACAACAGGAGGATTTCTTTAGCTTGGGACGACTCATCCTGAGCATTGCAACGAACACTCCACCACGAAATCTTGGTGACCTACGCCTACCCCTTGAGCAGCTAGGCAGAGCGTATTCCCCGGAATTAAAAGAGAGGATATCTTGGCTACTTAGCCCACCACAAAACGCACCGGCAAAGACTGCAGAGCATCTAGTATACGATCTCGCTCAGCATATGGATGATGCCCTGGTGGCATCATTTAATACCCAGGACGAGGTTACCGCTCACTTAGGCAGAGAACTCGAGAATGGCCGATTGGTGCGATTGATGGCGAAGTTGGGATCTATTAACGAACGACCAGAGTTTGATAATGACCCCAACTGGGCCGAGACATCAGAACGTTATACTTTGAAGCTCTTCCGAGACTATGTCTTCCATCAGGTTGACGCCCAAGGAAATCCGGTCGTTGATCTAGGTCACATCGTTAGCTGCTTAAATAAGCTAGACGCTGGTATCGATGAAAGGATTTATCTCACTAGTAGGGACCACCAATCGACATTCATAGTTTCATACAAAGAGTTGAAGAAGCAGGCCCAGAGTGCATTTAGCGACCTACTTAAGGGAGCCAATAAGACGCAGGCCAATCGCTACTAGAAAGAGCGCGGTTCCGACCACCCAAGCAACCAAGATCAGCAAATTGATCTTTCACGGAAGTTGGGGAGGAGGAAACGATTCACAGTTCGGTGAGCTTGGCAAATTAAACGAGTACCGTAAGACGAGAAAAGTCGGAGGAACTCGGAGGATAGGATTATATTCCGAATTTGAAAGAAACGGGAACACCTACGAAGGGTTCTGCGACGAGGACGTTTAGAACGATACACGACGGAATAGGATATTCAAAATGGAATGCATCCGAAAGTTATAGGAACTCGCAACGACACATGCAACAACCAAGGAAGCGAAACCTCGTCTTTCAAATTCAGAACCCGAAATTACAACCATAGATTCATCGACAGATCTAGACACTCTTCCACGCGAAAACCGTGGGCCACGACTTGAATCCCTTTCTTTGCGGCCGTTAATATGGAGCCGGCCCGAATCGAGAAGCCCCCGTGCCATATTGGACTATATTTTCGTTAGTCAGTTGAATACCGACGATACATAACAAGAGATGCACCATAGCGCTCCTCTTTTAGGTGTTAACCTCGCGATTTGGTTTGTTGCCGTCTCCCGCGGTCATAGACGGGGTCGGCTAAGCTGGCTACGAAGGAAGGACATACAACATTGCGATTTGTTTTCTCAGCAAAGTTTCGGATCAAGATGCGGGTTTGAAGGAAAGAAGCATGCGTGAATGAAACCTCTATGATCACAAACATAACTATCTCCCAGAGTATAAAGTAGAATATAAGCAAAGTTTCTTACCGTTCAGGAATTTGTGCCTTAAAAGAGGGGAATCGTCTCGACTGATCGTGGTGCCGTGCTGTGATGCGATTTGATTGTTAGACGCACAGGTCAGTTTTACGTGTATACCTACCTCTTATTCGATATTAGAGCGATTGAGTGCCACTAGATGATACAAAAAAAAGAATAAGAGCAAGTTTCGAAACATTGAGTGAGGACTCTTATGAGAAAGTGACAACCTGGTGCTTACGCATACTAGAAGTAGCGTGAGAGAGGCATGCGTTGTTTGTAGTCAAAGTAAGACTCGAAGGCCGAACTACCATTCCGCCGATAGTATGATAATACCTTATTCTAGTAATTCCATTTGCTCAAGGCTACATATGTAGGTTCACATTGGAGATAAGTATACACAGAGCCAATATAAGTATGTTATTTTTCGTACGTGGCCCAATCCATAATCTAGTCATGACCTTCTTACATCTCATCTCCTTCAAGCATCTCATACAGCTTATTCACTATTTCAGATCTTCATTTCTGCATCATAACTGTATTTGATTTGACTTGATTTGATTTGAGACCTATGCCATTCATAGGGCCGAATATTCCAGGTGTCTCTTGCATGCTAAACCCCTAGGGGACATTTAGAGATGCCGCCAGTTTTCGTTATCCTGGCCTCATACTAGCTGAGCCGCAAGTCTTCAGGGCTCTAATCTTCCGCTTGTTGCCCGAAGGGATTCTCAATCTCCTCGCTCCCATCTACTGGACTGATGACTACCAGCAAAGTACCTCGGGCGACTACTAGGCCTAGCGATCGAGTCGCCTCTTTCCCGTCATCATCTACGTAGACGTATATTAGGGTTTGCCCGCACATGATATAGAAGGATAGATTTAGATTAGGCAGGTGAGGGACTTGATGGCTGGCTTACCTCGCATAACTTCTTGCACGTCGTCGAGGACCAAGTTCATAAGCGCATCGTAGCCCTTGAGTGTACCGGTGACTATATGTAGTTATGAAAGTTAGCTCGAGTCTACCGCCGTCCCGCACTACAATGGATGCAGTCCAGGGTTGTATAATTTGACTGAAAGGGGATGGGATGGTCGAGGACAGACCTTCTCGGCCACCGTTAAATTTGACGGTGATCCTCTTATCTACGTATTTGCTTAGATCGAGGATGTTCTCTTTCTTTGGGCGTTCCCGTTCCTGCGGTGCACCGCCGCTAGCACCCGAGTCAGCTCCGTGTCCACCTCGCCCTCCGCCTCGCCCGCCCCGCGCTCCGCGGGGATGTCCGCCGCCTCCTCGGCCACCGCGGTAGTGACCACGGTCGGCCATTATGTAATCTGGATGTGGGTGCGGGTGTGGGTGTGGGTGTGGTTTGAAGTAGTAAAATATGCACTGTTGCCCAGCAGAGCTGGAATGCGGAGGAGGACGCGCTTTTCGGAGCTCGGAACGAACGAAAAAGATGCGGTGAAAGGAGACTAGGTTCTCGCGATGACTAGTTTCGGGATTTGGACGGATGCAGTAATAAGGGGTCGCGGAGGTCTGGACCGTTCGGTGACGAATAGGTGTTGCAGGCTACTATGAATACGGTTGCAACGACAAGCGACGAAGGAGGTATGGAGATTAAGTGAGGTTATCACCAGGCGGTGCGAACCTTGTAATAATCCGGTCTGCTTTTGGCTTTTGGCTTTTATGTGTCAGCTAATAGGTGCATTCGGGACACGCAGCCACAGGTCCGAGTCTCTAGTCACGTTAATTGGTAAAATGTAGAATGTACTCGGTGGACAGTGGAGGTCGTGACCGGGTGATATCAATTGTTATGTCTTTCCTCTGCAGCTTGTAGGTCGCAGGTTGCTGTCGATCGTGGAATACCGGGAAGTCGATTGCTTTTTTTTTTAAATCCCCTCTGTGGCTTTGGGCTGCGTAGATGCAAATTAGTGGAACCCCGCGATAAGGCTATTCTCCAATTGACCCAAGGCTGGAGTGAGGGGCAGAAGGCGAGGAAAGGTACTCTTTTTTTTGGACCTATAAATTTAGCATGTTGTTCTGGAACGCTTCTGTCCTTGGTGTGCCGTGTCCAGGGGTACCGCGGGGTGCTGAGTGGCTTGTTCGGGGCTTTTACATAGAGCATTTTACATAGGTAGGTACTACATAGGTTAGGTACCTATGCAAAGAGGACCCGACGAAGGACTAGCGGCCTGTCTGCTTGTATGCAGCATCTGAGTAGCGTCCTGCAAATGTAGGGATGTAAGCTCGGCAGCACTTCTATCTATGCTAGCGACTCTCAGGGATGTAAGCTGCAGAGCATATCACATATCTTCGCGCTTCTGAAGCTGTAAATATATGTACATTATTTCGTACCGTGCCAAGAGTAGCTGAATACGGATGTGGGAACTATACCTACCTAGGTAGCTCATACATAGCGAAAGAGAAAACAACAAGTAGAAAGGAAAGGTTCAAAAAGCATATAGTTATAACCAACTAATATAAATAAAAAGTACATCATATGGAAGTTATCAACTCGTGCTCTTTACTAGGTACCTCGAGAGAACGGGCCATGAGCTGAGAGGACCTTAAACCGTATTCTTCAAATCCCATCCATTCGAAATTTTGCTTATTAGTCTAACGCACCTCAGATCCATCAACGCCAATGGGTTTCAACGCCAAAGTCATGTAGGTAGCCCGTCGATCATTTCCTTCTTTTGTGCGGCGACAAGGGACCTCACGGCCGGGAAGTCTTTAAAAGGTGCGGAATTCCAGCGTCGATGATCCTTTCCTATATACGGCTAGGGTTAACCGGGCTGTGAAGACTCCCGAGGCGAGTACGGAGAGGCAATGAGAAGCAAGCGACAAAAGAGAACGGAAGATGGAAAGTTTTCAATCTCTGTTCCGTGAAGTTCACCATCGTCTCATGTAAACAGCCGAGATGTCGCTAAACTTCAATTTTCTGGTTGGGTATCATTCTGTTGGTATGAGCATACAACCTACCCCATTAGAATTTAGAAGAAGGGGGGGGGGGGGAGAAAAGTTCAAGCAGGACATTTTCAATATGAAATTGCTACAAGCATATATGCATATAACTATACTAACAAAGACTATAGTATTGATATAATGTTATTTAGGTATATTACATTACCTAATGTAGGTATTATGTAGGTACATATACCTTACGCACATGCACAAATATAAAGGTAGAAGCTAGGTACCTAATGTAGGTAGGTACCTATAAGCTATCCCAGAGGTCTTTACCTCAGCTCGATTGGCCTGCAGAGCTTGGGGCAAAAAAGTCATCAATACATACCTAGGAAGCTGCTTACATAGGTAGGTATCGAGCCTAGGTTATTACCTAAACCAGCAAGCTTCCATAAAAGCGTACCTAGGTACCTACCTAGGTATACCTAACCCACTTCGCTATTCGCACTTGGATCCCAGCACACTGCCTTCTGTAAAATCTGCGGGTGGGTATTCTTTTTCACCACCCTGCCAACATGCCACATTGAGAAGACATTGAGAGGTAAACTCTAAGGAGCTTTATCCTATTTTAATTCGATTGTATACTACCTACCTAAGTACATAATATACTACATACTGCGGTATCATTCCGTGCCGTGCCTCCCCGAACTAGGTACGTACATAATCTAGAGATCAACAATTACACCCATACATGTAATTACCAGGTATGTATTGAACACTAGACATTTTGAGCCCCGCGTCTCTTGAATCCACCCCGGTTGCCGACATACCCTTATCCCCAGCCCATTCTCACGGTAGTTTACTCCGTATTTTCTATTTGCGTCGAGGCTGAGTATCACCATACTTCGCTTGCTTACTTTATCATACACGTACTTCAATACCTCCATATATCCATACCTCAATCCCTTCAATCCCTTCAATACATCATATGTTTCTATATTGGCTTCCCCTTTTTCTTCCTTCTCCATTTAATTTGTTTGGCCCCTCGTTCGATCCCATTTCCCTTATTTTAAAGCTATTTACTCACTACGAACGAATCTAAAGGTTCGTTCCTATGACGGCCGCCGAGCTCAGAAAAACGGAAAAGCCCCAAAGCTCGGCAGCCCTAGCTTTGCAGTCTGCGTGCCGTTCCCGAGCGTTTCGCAATTCTCGGCCCATCTGCGACTTGGAGAATTAATTCGTAATAAAGCGTGCTCCCGCTGTTTGCTTACCCTTATAATATATACATCACATCGCCTTCTCAAACTCTCGGACAGAAATAGCAACGTCAAGCGAACCCCAACTCATCCTATCTTATACTATACTCATATATGTCAATTCGTATTTTCTAGCGACGGAATTAATTGGACGTGTCAATCGGTTATTCTAAAGCTGCAGCCCATTTTGTATATCAAGACTCTTGCCAAAGCTTAAGAGGTATCTGTAAATTTCTCAACCGTGAGGCGTGCTGGGATGGCGCACAATCCAGATTCTGATCAACATAAACGAAAAAGAGACATATCTGATGACAATGGAAGTCAAGCACCTCATGCTGACCGTATACCACAACCGCCTCCGCCTCAGTCAGGTAAGTCCCAATTCACCCATACACACTTACACATATCCCATATCCACACCTTCATAGGTAGCCTCCATCCGGGACACGATGATATCTTCACGCCTTGTTTCGTATGTGACATTGGCTTCCATCTCTTTATCATCATCATCATCATCATGTCCTACTATGAAATACTCTTACCTTATTTATGTATCGTATCTTTATATCCAACTATTTTATCGCACATTCGCAAAATGAGTCCAATTGACCATGTCACGGTCACGGCCAGGAGTGTAGCCGCTCGGTAGAAATATACTAACCTACCAATATCGAAGGCACGATAGCCCCGATCAATTATCTGTCCAAGGCCCATCCGGTCAAACTTAAGCTCATACAGGGCGACAGCGATACCTTCTCCGATGTTCTCACCCTAGTCAACGAGTATGAGGGTGAGCCGTTTCCACCTTATACTATTCTTCCTTGAATATACAAGGACTGACGCGATGACTCAGGAGTGTTGAATAGACACGAGAGCCTTGCTTCTAATTTAGGAGCAAAGTTGACGGGTAGCCGTTTGCTGAAGGCGATGGAGGGCGCCTTTGAAGGTTCAATAACGACAAATCCGCCACAGACGATATTTAGCCCTGACCCGGTCACATGGCTTGACATTGTCGAGTTTGCTAAGGCAAAACCGGGAGAGTTTGTATTAACGCCTACTCCTAATGGCGGGCGTTGCTGCCAATTCCCCCTGAAAGGCGTTCAGGTCGAAATTGGAGAAGATGACTGGAGGTTAATAGTATCTGGCGCTCTGGACAGGTTCAGGCTTGTCCCGCCACAGCCGCTAGAAGAAGACGAGACGGCGGAATTAGTAACTCTCGAAATTGTCGAGCAGCGCCTACAGGTTTTAATCAAGAAGGCGGACGAAGTGGCGCGTAGGGCCCGCCAACTTAACTACCACTTGAGCGGACGAAAAGCGTCTATACATGCGCGTCGCGCGTCGCAATCAGCCTCCGGCCCCAACTTCCAAGCTGTAAACCAGTCGCTAGGCTCCGGTGCCAACCCCGGTTACGACTTACATGCCGATCTTCTCCAGCAGTTTCTTGCCCCCTCCCAACCTTCTAGTCACCGTATCTCCTCCGTTGGTTCTATACCACCAACCCCAAATCCAATGGGCACCGCAACATCGACGCCGAGAACCTCTATTCAGCAGCAAACTATTTTAGGTAGCAACCGGCCTTCACCCAGTTATCCCACCGAGCCAGCTATGAGGGATGTGGAGGAAGAAAATCGCGCCTTGGTAACGGCTAAGATCGAGAGACTAGCACGTGGAGACGCTATACATCCACCATGTGACCGATGCAGAAGGCTCAAGACACAGTGCATTAAACACCTAACTGCCTGCCAGGGATGCACCAAGAAACATGCAAGATGTGTGTGGAAGGGGCTTACAGAAGAGGAGGTGGCTTGGCTTAAGGGAGAAGCTGGCGGAGACGGAGATGACGACGGAGATGAGCCAAGGGACTCCGGTAGAGCTGTATTTGGATCCCAATCGCATCTCGAATTCGGCGAACGTCGTAGGGAATCGGAACGCAGCGACGAACCTAGCACGAGCAGGTCTGGTTCGAGGATAGCCATTGGCAGACCTGCCGACGATGTCTGGAGAAAGGGACCAGAGACACCAATAAGTAGGCATGAAACTATGGAAGTAGATATAAGAGATGTGCGCCAGGGACAAGAATACCCGAGAAAAGAACTAGCTAGTGGGATGTTTAGGGAGCAGGAGTCGATACTTAGCCACATGGCTTCGGTCGCGTCCGCGGCGGCAGATGCTGCTGCGATTTCGCGCGGGGGTCATCAACACTCAGAATAATCAGAACAAGAGCAAGACTACAATTACTTGGCCGTACATATATACGCGGGTGGATTTGTAAATGTGGGTTTTCTTTAGGTGTTGGCAACCTGTATATACCCGGACAGCATACGGCTAGGAGAAGGCGTGCATTACAACTTCATGTCTACTCATTAGGACCTAGGTTGCTTACCAAGTTACCATTAACTATTTGACATATGGGAGAAATTGAAAAAATTCAAGTTATATTGCTCAGTCCTGGCAAATGAGATGAAGTTAAAATTGTGCTGAATAACCTGATGTAAGACACCGAGGCTCTAAGAGGCTCAACTTGACTAAGTGTCTTACAATACATTATATTATGTATATCTGACTCCCCTGGCGGGCCTCCTTCGGAGTGACCTGCCTACATCCCCAAACTTCGGGAAAACCGGGCTCGCGGGTGTTTGAGGCACAGTGGATGAGGCCCCACTTAATTAAAAGTTGGGAAGCGCGCTAGGTACCTACATAGTACATATCTCATGTAGTTAGGGCTACTCTATGTATTATGTACAATACCTAGACGCGACGGGATAAGACAGTGTGGCGGCGGTACCCATTAAAAAAAAAAAAGTCAAATCTAATTGCATGCAATTCTTTGACGTCGTCAGTAGCGAACCTCTGGTCTCAAAGTTTCAAAGTTTCAAATTTTCCAAATTTAAATATACCTCCACTCACTTATCGACAATCGCCGTTCTACTAAGCTCACAATTGTGAACAATTTAATGGGGTGTCGGTAGTGAATATTCAGAGTGCTTCTCCGTCGCTTTTCTACAGGCCGCACAGAAACTGACTTATAGCCGTCATCTCCATAACGGGTCATGGCCCAACCGCCACCCCATGCGATTTATACAATGAACAACACCGGAAAGCGTCGCGATGGCGCATTTCCGATACCACAACAGTCGCCACTACCTCAATCCCGTGAGCTCGGTCTCGCAACTCCCGAGGCTACAGCGACAACATCGTCGCCGTTCTCCAGATCTTGGCCACATTTGGTCGCCGGAGGGTACGTCATGATTCCTCCTCCTCGTCTATAGAGCTCCTTAAAGCTGGAAAATGCCCTTCAAAAGAAATGCATACAAGGCTTTCGCTAAGGCTCTCTATTCTCGCAGTATCGGGGGCATGACAGCAGCTGTGCTAACAGCACCTCTCGATGTTCTCAAAACCCGACTTCAATCCGACTTCTATCAAGCCCAGCTCCGGGCAGCGCGAGAAGCAACAGGCCAAGCGCGCCTTGGTCCATGGCAGTCAGCCACGTATCACTTACAAGAAACCTTCCAGATCTTGCGCGACGTGCACAGGCTAGAAGGGTGGCGAGCACTGTTCAAGGGTCTGGGGCCGAACCTGGTCGGAGTCGTGCCGGCGCGAAGCATCAACTTCTACGTGTACCCCACGAGCAAGAGGGCATATTCGCAGTGGTTAGACGCATCCCCGGAGAATCCAATTGTGCATCTAGCCAGTGCGGTGACAGCGGGGATCGCAACAGGAACTGCGACGAATCCTATATGGCTAGTGAAGACGCGATTGCAGCTTGACAAGAATAACGCTGAGCGCAAGGGTGACATAGGTGCGCGCCGGTACCGCAACAGCTGGGACTGCATCCGACAGGTGGTGCGGGACGAGGGTCCGCGGGGCTTCTTCAAAGGTCTGAGCGCAAGTTACCTTGGCATCACCGAAAGCACACTGCAGTGGATGATGTACGAGGAGATTAAACGTAAATTAAGATTACGAGAGGAACTGATCGTGCAGAGTGGCAAGGAAAAGACATGGTGGGACCGTACAGTTGACTGGACCGGAAACTTCATGGGTGCCGGCGCGGCCAAGGGCATAGCATCCATATTGACGTATCCGCACGAGGTGAGTGCTCACGGCGATTATACAGCGCCGTCAAAGAATTGAATTGTGATCTGAAAGAAGAGGTAGCTAACTTGATAGCTAGGTCGCGCGGACTCGGCTCAGACAAGCACCAATGTCAGATGGGAAACCCAAGTATACGGGGCTTGTACAATGCTTTAAACTTGTCTGGAAGGAGGAGGGCGTCGTCGGATTATACGGTGGTCTAACGCCTCATCTAATGCGTACAATCCCCTCGGCCGCAATTATGTTCGGCATGTACGAGGTTATCGTCAAGTTCCTCGGCGCGAAGAACTAGATAACGATACCTTTGTCACTAACCCACATATTAACGCCCCCCTAGACAAGTCCAATCCCACTGACATCACCCACTAACGTGACGGTACACGTTTATGACGACCCTGTAATAACATCAACTTGAGGTACGAGACAAGAAGAAAAGGCAATGCTAGATGACTGACGATACCTCTCGAGCTTGGACTGGATATCCAAGGAACCATAGGCACCGAAGGAAGCCATTCTAAATAACCATCTCACCTTTATCCCCACCCACGCACGTGCATAGACACTGTGCAAACGCTACGTCACCACTACTGTATATCAAATGGAAATATGTGATAGAAAAGGGCTGGGTCACGATAGAATTACGAAGGCAAAAAAGCACGGCAGGGTTCTCGTTAGCCTGCTACGATGTGTACGGAGTGGCATGTGACATATAGCATGATTGGCGTTTAGGAGGGAAAAGGGAGATGGATGATATATTAGATAAGGCAAAAAAAAGAAGAGGATAAAATAAAAACGATCCACTCTAAGGCCACGACCACATGTATTAGAAATACATGTATGTAACCATGTAGCATAAGAGAGAACAGGTAGGCTTGTGTACAGGACTTGAGTGTCCTCCGTTAAAGGTCTCTTATGAGTGCCCCTAATTACAACATCTTCTAGGTAGCTAGTAGGTCTTTATAAGCCCAGCAAGGGAGGTATCATATCCTCGTTCCCTTGAGTATTTATTTTATTATAAGATTCCGACTAAGTATAGGACAGGTTAGGTGGCTATAGACAATACTAATATTAATAAAAACATGGGTTAGGTTAGGTAGTAGTTCTTGCTCCCATTCATTCGCCCCAAGAAACCAATCATCACGGTGGACCCCATCAAATTCTCACGAATCACAGCGCCCTTGACAACCGCCTAATTTCACCGAAGTTTACACACGCTAGGGATATATAGGACCTAATAAAAGGCTATCAGTCATCAAGGCAACGTGCCAGAGTGGTTAATGGGTTAGACTCGAAATCTAATGACTTCGGTCGCACAGGTTCGAATCCTGTCGTTGTCGCGACTTTCCATTTCTTTTTCGATTTCCTTTTTTTTTTTTTTTCTTTCATTCATCCCAAACATCGAAATCCTAAACTTCCAGTTTTCAAGTTTTGTTTTTCGGGTTAGTATTCTAGGTTAGTTAGTTAGTTAGTTGACACAGAGTGCTTTGGGGCTTAAACATGTCTCATGTGTTGTATAGATTCTTTTTTTTTTTTTTTTTTTTTTTTTTTTTGGTATATGTATATATCAACTGCGCGCTTGCGTCATGTACATTTATGCTTGTGTGGATTGCTACATGTATCATCTGAAGATCTCATAGCTCTCTATAATTCGAGTAGTTGCACTTTTATTACGATATTCCCCTATTACACCAAGTTTACTTCGAATTTTACCCCGGATAACAACGTCATTACTCGGATCTAGTGGCAATTCAAACTAAAACGTCCATTGCTTGAATTAAGCTTAGACGAAGCACCACAAGAATAGAAAGCCGAAATTATATTAATATAGGTAAAATCGACGAAAATAAGTCCTTCTCGACTACTAGTAGTTTGATCATCCTTTTCTGCCGGACGGCTTCAAACCGCATCTTTGTCAAGTCAGCTATGTCCACGTAGGCGTCATGAAATAGATGTACGCAATTACTCTTTAACCTCGTATCTGTAAAGCTCAGGCCAGTAATATAAGCGGTTCCTTCGATTCTCATCGTAATGTCGTCTCCGTCTCCCAACTACTACGCTTCGATGCTATCCCCTGCAAATGAGTCTCCACGAGTTGTTTAGGCGGTCTCTTCCGCAGCTTTCTGGGTATGCGACGGCCACCGGGATTTTGCGGCCCGTTATTGGTGGTCCACGAGTCGAAAAGTCGCAGTCACCAAGCGTTGCGGTCCCAGTTAGGGTCTGGAGATCTGAGTTAGCTATCTAGTTTCGAACATAGTCGGCATATTGACGTTAATCCCTCGTAACAGCTTAGATTTGGCTTTTTCTTCTCATATAATACCCTTCCGCCCAGGCCAATGTTCCTATTTCAACCTGCATAGCCCATCAAGTGAAAAGGAAAACCACGGTATTAGGAATGCAGTCACGAAAAAAAAAAAAAAAAAAAAAGAAAAAAGAAAAAAAAAACTCACCTTGCACGAACGCAGCCAAGACCTTGCTGCCAGTCTGAAGTAGCGGGTGGCCAACAACAATCTTGAGGAATTTCTCGAGTCCAGCACGACGACCCTCGATGACATCGTCGGAGAAGCGGTTGGTGAAGACCTTGCCAGGAAGCGGGGGAATAGTGACGCGGGCGCTCTCGCGTTCGAGAATGTCGCGGAAGTACTCGAAGTCGCTGTAGCGCCGGCGCACCGAAGAGTGCCGTAGCTTGAAGGCCGGGATGTTGGTGCGGCACACGATCTCGTAGTCCGTGTACATGTTGCGCGACGTGCCGTGTGTGCGCGGACTGCGGACCTGTTTCAGATGGCCAGGTGCCATTGATCAGCTTACTGTTACTATTGGTCGCACTGCTGATTCAATTGTGTCGCGTGATGCATATAAAACAGTAAAGGGGGGAGGGAAGGAGAAGAGTATAAGTCTTGCTCGCGTGCCTTATTGAGTAAGGCTATGCGCCATCCACGAAGCCATATGAACAATAACATGTTTCGGAAAGGGACCTACCTCTATCTCGAGAAAGTTCTCCGGGGGCCCGTAGATCTCCTCGAACGACTGCTGACGCGTGTCCGGCATAGACTGCAGGATGGGACGGGTTAAGCCAGCCATTCCGCGCGGAGAGGTTGCTGTCGGAGATGTCGAGGTTTGATTCGACGACGTGGGTGCCGCTGGAACTGCGCCCGCGCCGGTCGCGGGGACCTGTTGTTGGCCGGTGGACGCCGTTTTGGCGGTTTGTTTCGTGACTGTTTATAGCAGTTCGCTCGGGGGTTTGCGTCAGAGGCTTGCGCCTCGTTGGCCTAGGGAACCAGACAGCAGAGTCGGTCGAAAATCCTAGTAGAAGGTGAGGTCGAACTTGGGCAAGAAGTTTCGGGTTGAAGGTATGTGCGGTCTCAGCTCAGCGTGATTGGAGGGGGGAAGGGAGATGGGGAAATGTGGTAAGGTTTGGTGCGATGTTTTGGTGGTTTTGTGGTTTTGGTGGTTGTCGACTATGGAAAGTTCCAGGAAGTGGGATGAGGTTTAGTAGGCAGGTATGTAGGTGGGCAGCTGGCGGGTCGACAGTGGAGTTGGTTTGCTTGATCAGGGCGCCAAGGACGACGGCTGTTTCCCAAATAATTAAATTAGGTAAGGTACCCTTACTGTACTGAAGGTACTAAAGGTACGAGCATCTAGCATACACGCAAGTATTTATACTCTGTATCTTGCGTGGATAATACTTCACAAAAGTACAGTACGTACTAGAAGCTCATGCGGGGAAATATCTGAGAGTTACGATCTGCCCGACCAATATTCGAGACCAGGGGGATCGATTAGTAATAATATCAACTTCATCCCATCTAATTCTGACTTATACCACTTACACTTACACTTACACTTATGATTAATTAGGTACCTTATAAATACTCATCTTAGCTATTACCAATAACTCACAAAGCAAAAGGCATAATACTCAAGCAATGTGCTGACCAACGAAATAGTTTATTAGGGCTATCTACGAAAGAAGCCTCAACTAAAAGAAATGAAATGAAACCGGATTCCCAGCAAATCGCAAATCTACGGGTTCCAAACGGGTGTAGATCACCCCATAGTATTGTCACATAATGACTTAAGACATGCGTCTTAATTCTCGCGCGCCTTTCTACTCGTGTAGATACCGAGAATAAATGTGCGAAAAAATATCCCCCCCTGCGCTCAGTCTAGAGCCTACAGGGTGCGAAGTCTGATTAAGATCCTCAACTTTGACATTCTCATCAGAACGAGCGGCTCGTATGAGCGGCCGCGTGCTGATGCACACTCAATAATCTTTCGCAGCTGGTCAAGCAAGGGATTCCTTCAGGTGTCGCATTCGGTGATGATGGCTAGCATGGCTAGCCTCCGAGAAGACCGTGTAGGTGTAGCAAATGGCCTTCTAGAGATCAAACGAAGTTGTGTTCGTTATCCCGTTGGCGACGATCGTCATTGTCGTCATAGCAAAAAGCAAAGTTGATGGTGACTACCCCGAGTCTATGCAACTGAATAGCCTAAGGTCTAGATGGCCATCCCGCTCTAGTAGGAGGGCAGTTGTCCTCCAGTGATAGCCCGGCGGATAATCTTCTCGATCGCGTCCCACTCCAAAGCAGCAACATCAGCTAGCGTCATGTTGTCAAACGCTGGTCCTGACGGCAAACCCATCTCGCACCAGAAGAAGCCCCAATAATCAGAGGTCTTGCTTTGCTCGAGCTTCAGGGCGCGCTTTCGGCTGACGCTAAGGTTATCTACAACTCGAGAAGTCTCAGTGCTGATTAAAGCGATGTAGTACTGTTCAATCTTATTAGAATACAATATATAAGCAGTAGAATAGGGGTGTATATAACATACCTCGACGACATCCAGAGGGACGCCGGGTTTAACGCCAAGGGCGTACTGGTGGCACCAGCGCTCAGCAAAACGAGGCTGGTTGTAATCGCGCAAGTCAAGCTCGGACAGATTGACCGTGTATGCAATGTTGTCCTTCTGGCTCACAGTGAAGCCGGGGCATAGCATAGCAGCCTTAACAAGTCGGTTAAGAAGCTGTTTGGTGAGGCGATTGAAGTCTGGCCTTTGGCCGCGGCGCAATGTGCCTCTCTCAAGAAGCTCCTTCAAGTACTGAACCATCTTGAATGTCGCGTCATAGATATAATGGCGCTCCTTGATGGTGATACGCTCAGTTAGATACCACGGCATCTTCTTTAGAGTGCTGATCATGCACTCGAATGGTCGTTCGGGACAACCTTTAGCATATGAGGCCTATAGAAGGGTAACGTTAGGAGCGAGAACATAATCGGATTAAGGGGGGGGATTACTTACGTGGGAGTTGGCCTCAGCATGCTTATAGAGCATACCCATCTCTTCCGCACAAACGAATCCTTTGAAGTTTTCAAAGTCGTACTCAGAACCAGATGTGAATGCATAAGGGGATTCGTGCCAGTCAATGCCATGTGCAGTAGGGAAGAGCTCCTTCATGAGCTTCGCCTGAGAAGCAACTGTCATCTCCACATTGCGGTCACCAAGTTTAGGGTGACGTTCCTGCTTGATGGCGGCTCGGTGTTTGTCCACGGCGTTCACAGCATCTTGAAACGACACGAACTCGACGTAACAGTCATTTGTCTTGCTGGTAACGCGGTCCATGATGATATGGACAGGCTCCTCCTTGTCGTTCAGGATGCGAGCGCTACGACCCAAGAAGGCGATGATCTCGGCACGGGTAATCTCATAGGGGATCTAGAAGAAAGTTAATCATGTGTCCATGGTCTATCATTTCTACGAATAACTTACGTTGCTAATGCACACAATCCCGTTGTTGCTGCGCTCGGCAAGATGGCATGTTTCAACAAACGGCATGTTGCTGGAATGAAGCATATCTTCGACAGTAGGTTGCCCATTAGGTCCCGTCAATTGATTCAACCAGTCCGAGCGAAGCTTTTGGATTTCCTCGGGAATAGGAAGGAATTCCAATGGCCCGTAGATCGGGGATGTCGATCGTAGACTCGATCGCTGGCTAGAAGGACTCTTAACAAGAGTCTGTCGCTGCTGGATCAGCTCTGTCGTTAGGGGTGTGGGAGAAGCTGACTGAGTTTTTCTCAAGGAATCTAGGAGGCCATTTCCGCTTGAGGAACCACTAGAAGAACCCGATGCAGTGGCACTAAGACGGACAATGGACTGCGCCGATCGGGCAGCGCTGTGACTTCCCGGAGGAGCTAAGGGGCTAATTCGCCGAGTTCTTGTAGGAGTGGTACTGTTATGGCTTTGACCATCTGAAGGATTGCGATCAAGTAAACCAACTCTCTGGATGCTGGTAGGCGTAGTGAACTGGGTGAGATTGCCCTGGACTATAGGCGTTTGGCGACCGCGAGAGAGTCCCATGGCGTCAACTACTGAGGCCAGAGCAGCCTTACCTATTATCTGACTCTGAGAAGAGGTTATGCCAGTTCTGCCTCTAAGTAGCGTGGGTGATGTATCCAGTGTCATCTTAGGCGGTGCCGAAACCGTCGTATTCTTTCGCTTGTGGCCCCCCTTCTGGTTTGGGGAGGTCGTGGGCAGACCATTCGCGACGTTGTGGAGGACCTGTCTGAAAACCTCCTCGTTCTCGCTATGAATGGTGCAAGACTGTCGACGGTCACCGGCAACTCTGTCATAGTCTTCCTGCATCGGCATGCCTGTCATTTCACGTTTCTGGAAATTCCAATCTGCAGGGGTCCAATGCTGCTGAAGGCAAAGCAGCATCGACTGGTCTATGATTGATGGCTGCATAGCATTGTCTACAGCTGCCTGCTGGGCTGGGCTGAGGGGAATTCCATTAGGAAAGTTCTGTAGATTCTGTTGAGCCTGGTGCATGTTCATGAACATTTCCACCGGAGAGACCTGTAAGATTAGACATAGATTTATTAGCATGGCAAATCTAATTTATAATGTTAAGATAAAAAAAAAGACATTGGATCAAGTCTAATCATCATCGGCAACAAATATGTAGGAGGGTGTAGGTGTAGGTTTGGGCTTGGGGGGGGATGTGTTACCTTCTCGTTGCTGTTGTTAGGGGCAGCTGCGCCAGTCATGGATCCCATCAACGTAGAACCAAATGACCTGGGAGTAGTGTAGTAGCTGCCACTAGGAATAGTAACTACACCTGCCGTCTCGGCATTGTTCACTGCATTTACAGCGGTGTAAGCCATAGAATGGCTACCAGCCTCGGAAGAACCAATGTTCATGTTAAGAGAAGCGCCTTGAGCGGGAGCACCCGCGCCACTGCCCTCATGCGAAGTAACATTCAAAGAGGCAGTTAGAGGTTGTCGAGGCAGCTTGGAGTTAGCCCATCGGCTGCCAGGAGCTGTAGTTCCAGGCATATTCGCGTATATCAGTGAGAGATAAATAGAATATGGCCGGACTAAGCAATATGTGAAGTTAGCATTATTCAAGTAAGCAAGTAGTTGTTCTAGTATGTGTTGATAGATGACTTGTTGCTGAAGGGATAATGTTCTAGTAGTAGTGCGCGGGAAGATGGGTAGGTTAAACACTTACACGAAGAAGTTGATTGTTGTTAAGTCGCGACCCGCGTTGCAAAGAAACGCCAAAGGGATAAGTGAAGTAGTCGAGACAAGAAGTAATGACTCGTTGAGATGGAGGTCCAAGATGTAGTAATCCTTAAGACTTCCAGGTGAATGTGCGTGCTGATGTGAATGGGTTACTAACTACTTTGCCGATTGATATCCACATGAACTTCATAAACTATCCGTACAATTGGGTTAGTCTTGGGGGAAGAAGGAAGGTGGAAGCGCTATTGAAAGTGTCGAGTTGAAAGTTGAAAAGTGTTGTGAAGGTGTAACGGGAGGAAAGAATGTTTAGAAGTGCGGGATGATTGTTAAATAAAATCGGGCAGGCAGGTTTGTGTGTCGAGGTGTGTGTAAAGGTACGTAAGGTACCAAGTATAATTACCAATGCACCGCCGGCAGCTGTCAATTACAAGGTAACTTTTGAAGTGTCGTGATGCAACGGGGTTGGTGATAGTGGCTAAAAATGTACAGACAACGGTACGGGCTGGCCGTTGCCTAGGGATTTGTTCGTCCAGAAAAAGCCCCACGTCACGTACTGACTTCAATATGCGAAAAGGATAATTTCGTGAACAAGAGGGAATGGCAAGTAGTAAGGAAATAAAGAATCAGGAGTGCAGGGCAACAAGGCAATCTTGAAATATGGGAGTTGGAAAGCGGCTCACTCACTATGTAATACTTGATCTGTAGTAGATACTTAAAATGCCCGCCTTTTCATAAAACCGAACTCTGCTAAAAATACCACAGTGGGGAGAAAGGTATCCAGAGGATATCTGGATGATGTCTGCTATCTGATTGTGTAAGTTAGATACACCAAGGTATTCTTACGCAGCCAATGAAATAGAGAGGATTCAGGAGGGAATATACGTACCAGATATGAAACCACCAAAGGTCCAAGCTTCAGGTTTGGTGAGTCAGGATATTCAATAAAAGTCGAGAGTATTGTTATTTCGAAGGAGAGGGGAAAGGGGCTTTAAAATAGGTAGGTACCTATTGGATAACCAGGATGGCGCTGGATGTACCTAGGGAATCAAGGAAGATAGGACCACACCGAAAAGAGGTGACGGAAGAAGTAAAGTTAGATTCATATGAATATATTTTACGAAGACTGTTAAATAGATAGATTTCCTTCGAGACTTAGGGCGGTGAGGATATTGTGTTGCAGGGAAGTAACGAGGATATCGCGAGCTGGCACAAGCAAAACTAAGGCTATCAGCCACTAACTACTGGGTATACCTTCGTATCTTTGGCTGTAGAGGAAGGTAAGAGAGGAAGGGGGGATAACTGCCGTTACAGGATCTGGTGCTTGCCTCGAGGTTTGACGTTGGTAAACTCGAACTGACTAGAGATTTGATAAGCTCCAGTTCAGGTATCAGATGATATATAGAAATAGAACTGTGGTATGATGGTAAGAGCGGCTACTATTTGCAAGCGGCGGTCTTTCCTCCCCACGGCAAGAGTAGACACTCGAGATGCCACCGAACGGAACCTCAGGTATCGTGGTCCACCCGGCATACAAGTAGGCAAGAGCGGGAATATCCACCCAAGCTACTTCCAAGGCGTTCAATACAAGCTTCACCGTACCTAACCAACAATATTTGCTCATTTACAAAAGTAAGTGAAACCGCTGATGGGCCGTAGGTAAAGTTTAAAGAGCAATATATTTAATAACGAGAATAGAGCGTCAACTAAGGAAGCACACCGCGGAGTAAAACGGCCAGTTTTCTAGTATTCGATATTAGTTCATCACTCTTCTCTACCTTGGATAGATAAGGCTGCAACTAAAATATTCAGACCGGGTCGTCTAACAGTTTGTGATTGTAATCGCGTCCTGAAATTAATTTCATATACGACCGTTAGCCCTGACGATAGTTATACCCAACTCTACAATTCGAGCTACGATTTTGGGCATCTCGTCTTCCTAAAGTGCCGGTGTTTATAAGCCTCAATAATTAGGATCTTTGCTACTAGGTAATTAACTCGAACTTCTGTTGGTCAATTATGACGAGGTAGATAAAATAATCTTACGGATTTTGTTAAATAATAGATAATGTTGAATCCTAAATCCTACTTTGGCCGCAGATATGCTACTAATTATGTCTTCGTCTTATGACCCATCTTGGTTCCTTCCCTTCCAATTTATATATTCGAAACTGTCTGTCGACGTAATTTTGATAATGATTAGGCATACATATAAGAACATTCGTGGTACAACTAATTCCTTTGGCCGATAATATGTAATTGATAATATGGCTTTGGGTTTAGTATAGGTCGTATTGATGCCGGTATATTGACATACTATGTATTAATTTGCCAGGTAAACTGATACCAAGAATCGAAGGTCACAAAGCACTATGAGCATGAAGATACGTAAAATGAATTGTTGTAGAATAATCTACTAGACTGGATATTTGGAGGATGTATTTCTCGTTTATAAACATTAGTTGTTACTTTGATGGCCAAGAATTATGAAATTTAGACACAAGGCAGCGGCCTCGACTGGATAGAGCTCGTCCTCATAAAATCGGAGGATAAGCTATAGGTAATACTTGTAACTATAATATATGTATACCGATTATTGAACTACAAACGAAAGCAAGCATCTGATGAATGGAAGAGCTTGAATATGAAGCCACTACACCTGGAACCACAATTTTAAGAGGTTATATAGAGGATTGCCCCGTCAATCACTTCATTGCATCAATGCCCACTGGCTAAATAGATCAAATGGTAACCTGAAATCACTGTTTGCTATCATTTTATATCTACGTAAGTAATGCATATTGCTGGAGTTTGCTGTCTCTATCTATACGGCCTCAACCAGTTATGCTCTGGTATGTCAGTTCTTGCGTCTCCGTGAATTGTTAGCTTCATAGCTCGTGTCTTATTCTCTCCCCAAGTTTGGCCGGGAAGAAAGCCAGTCCTCCATGGGCGTATCTTTTAGTCAAACTGAAAATAATATTAGTAAATTGCCGAGAAAAGGGGTGATAAAAGGAACTCACGGGCGTCAGGAAAGATTCGGCCACGAATCTTGCCCGTGCGTTTAACTAATTCTGGTTAGTCAATCTGGGCTATAGGGGGTCAATTCTAGGATGACATACAAACAGCTTCATCTCTGAAATCTCCTTGTCTACTTCCTCCATGAATTGGATGATGAAGTCCACCAGCTTGTGCTTCAGCATCTCCTCGGTATGGAAGTTGGTTATTAAGAAGGAAATGTCGTAACCCTATTCGGACCAGATTAGCTACGATGGACATCACGGTAGCTCTACCGAAAATGGGAATGAATACCTTGATAGGTTTCCTCCTAAGGATGAAGAAGGCTTCGGCTCGCTGGGTCAGGAATCGGGTGAACTTGTGGACTAGGATATTCTCGATCTCGTCTGCCTGCTTGATCTTGATGCTAATTCGTACGCTGTTGATGCTGGGTTCGATCAGGACCTTCTCGTTCTCGTTGCGGGAGATGACTAAGGGGTTGAGTAGAACTTCCGGGGAAGTCTGGGCTTCGATCTCGGGAACATTGTGTCGTTCGGAAGTTTGGGAGGCAAAGTTAGAGAGGCAAAGGGCGGCCGTGAGAGTGCTCCGTACGCATTGGAGGTAGGGGCGGAGAGATTGGGACTGAGACTCGGAGTTAGTAGGTGACTTTAGATTTAAGTATAGGAGATATAGGAGATATAGGAGATATAGGAGATGGGCGTAGACTATACCATGGTGCGTAGAGCGGTCAGTCCCCTAACCTGGTGTTTGTCCTACAGTGAGTGTGGGGTGAAGCAATTCCCAGCCTGACAGCGGTCCTTTAAGTTAATTACGACGTCCTGAAGGTCTAATGTGGGGCCACTGCACAGCTAAGATACGTATCTTCTAGGGCAGTTAGGGGTAAAAGATAGGTGGGTTGTACAGTTACTATGTAAGCTTAAGCTTATCGATTTACCATGCAAGTAAGATAAACACGTGACGTCGAATTAAGATTGGTGGAGGTGGATTCTTTTTCCTAAGGTACTTACCTAGGTACCTATGTACATAGGTTGCCTGCTCTGTGGCTTGACTGCTTGACACATCTCTGTAGCCCCGCAGCGGGGACCCGCTTCAGTTGAAACTCCCTAAAGGCGGGTAGAATCCTATCGATTATTGGGGGTGACGCACCACGAGTTTGCCTTGCTTTGCCTTGCCTAACCTAAGGCTATTACCAGACAATATTACCAGACAAATAAATATATTTCTATTTCCCCTTCCCCCTTTCGACACGTCTTCTAGTTCAATCCCAGCACGGAGAACCTCTAGAGAATAGTGAAGGTCATATCGTTAGAGGCACGACAAGATGGCAACCATACCAGGTGAGCACCTCGAGCTGCAGATCTTGACTCTGTGCTGTTTAGAAAAACCCACTAATATGTTCTGCACTTGGTGTAGTCGTCGTAAAACACCAGGGAACCAAGTATGACATTGATGTCGATCCCGAGTCAACCGGTGATGTGTTCAAATTCCAGCTTTACAGTGTTACAGGCGTAGAGCCCGAACGCCAAAAGATCTTAGTCAAGGGCGGCCAAGTGAAGGATGATACCCCCATGAGCAAGTTCGATTTCAAGCCCGGCCAGACTATCATGATGCTTGGAACTCCAGGGAAGGAAGGTCAGGAGGTCCTTGCTCGACCGAAAGAACCCATCAAGTTTGTTGAAGATATGACCGAGGCCGAAGCAGCTCAGCAAGAAGGCGCTATACCCGCTGGCCTGGCTAACCTTGGAAATACCTGCTACCTTAACTCCACGCTCCAGACCCTCCGCGCCATTCCAGAACTCCAGAATGCCTTGACCGAGTATGTACCCCAGAACACAAGTGGCGCCGGTCTCTTGCCGCCTCTTGATTTGACCAAGCAACTGAGAGAGCTCTATAAATACATGTCCCAGACGCAGGAGGCCTACACTCCCCAGGTATTTCTAACTGCGTTACGGACTGCTTTCCCCCAGTTTGCCGAGCGCTCGCGGACTGGCCATGGGTTTGCCCAGCAGGATGCGGAGGAGGCATGGTCTCAAATTGTCACTCAGTTGCGCCAAAAGTTGCGCGTAAAGGATGCTCCCGGTGCGCCCGAGACTTCCTTTATTGATAAATACATGCAGGGAGAGTTTACATCCGAACTAGAATGCGACGAGCCTGCAGCTAAAGAAGGTGGAGAGCAGCCTGTAGTCTCGAAAGAAACTTTCCTAAAGTTGAACTGCCACATCGATGGCAATACGAATCACTTACGAGACGGAATTGCGAATGGTCTAAGCGAGAAGGTGGAGAAGAGGTCAGAAGTCCTGGGCAGGGATGCTGTCTATACCAAGACCTCCAAAATCTCGCGGCTACCCAAGTACCTAACAGTCCATTTCGTTCGTTTCTTCTGGAAGCGAGAAACTCAAAAGAAGGCCAAGATCATGCGGAAGGTCACGTTCCCCCACGAGTTGGACCTTGTGGAATTTTGTGACGATAAGCTAAAGGGAATGCTTGTTCCAGTCAGAGACAAGGTCCGAGAAGTTCGGAAGGATGAGGAAGATATTGAACGTGCGCGCAAGCGACGTAAGCGAAATGCCGCCGGTGAGGACCAGGCCGATATTCCAGGTGGTAAGGGTACGAAGAAAGATGATAAGAAGGAAGAAAGCAAAGCTGGCACCTCGGCGGACGGCGACGTAGAGATGGGCGAGACTTACAAGACGGATGCCGAGATCGACGCAGAACGCGACGCAGCTCTTCTCGCAGCTAAGAAGGAACTAAATGCTCTCATCGACCCGTCATTAGCAAATGATGATGGCGCGAACCAGTCCGGTTTGTACGAACTACGAGGTGTCGTCACGCACCAGGGCGCAAGCGCTGACAGCGGCCACTACACGGCTTACGTAAAGAAGACGGCTCCGGTCGATGCCAAGACCGGAAAGCGGAAGGAAGAGGACGGAAAGTGGTGGTGGTTCAACGACGACAAGGTGTCGGAGGTGACGGCAGACAAGATCGAAGCGTTAGCCGGAGGTGGCGAGTCGCACTCGGCTCTCATCCTGCTCTACCGCGCTATTCCGCTGCCCTCTGCCGAAGGCACACTTGAATTTGAGTGAATACGAAATTGACGACACGATATCGCATACGGGCGTTTTGAGTGCATGACAAGCAAGGGGGGGAAATACAATGGCTAGCATTAGACGCGCTTCCCCTCGATAGGGTACGGTTCGGGAAATAGATGTCTTGCCACATTTGGTCGGGATTTTGAACTCAGGTTCTCTCATGTAGGTGTTAATGCTACGTGTACTCCGTCGTCTCGAAGTCTTCAACCACCTAGTCCCTAACGTCTCCCACATACGCCATGTTTCATATGTACATGTCTTTCTTCTATGTCCATGCCTATCTTCAAGGGCGTCCAACGCGTGGCCGTATTGCGCGGTGCGTCCTTAGACTAAGTAGGTACATATCCTCTGTTGAGGCATTGTGTCCTTCATCTAATCTAACGGGTGGGATGGGAGGCTATCATGGCCACTATCTAAACGGTCGTTTCTCGTAGACGCGCGGCGTAGATTCCCACTGGAGTAACGTAGGAAGATGAATCCTAGCAATTCATCGAGTCTTCCGTGGTTCGTCTACCAATCCCCCTTTTCCCGTACTCACTTTATTATGTTAAAGCCCTATTATTTTCTCATAACCAGCCCTGTCCAAGTCGACTAACCTCATTTCTTACCACCCGTCCCCGTCCCCGCCGCCGCCCCCTCTCCTCCCACGCCACCATCCTTACGCTCCTGCGCGCTCATCCGCGCCCTCAGGTCAGCCAACTTCCTCTCGAACGGGGATTTCTGGGCGACGAGGGCGGCGCGACGGGCCTCGAGATAGCGGATGCGGTCCTCGGGGGTGGCTTCGACGATCTTGCGCTTCTCCTGCTTGAACTCGGACTGCGTCTTCAGGCCCGCGCCGTAGATGGCGCTGACGATGGTGACGGCGGCGAAGGCGCCTGTCCAGACTAGTCGCTTGACTGTTATGCCGGATATCCTGCTGGCTATCTTATTGCTGCTTGGACTTGGGCTTGGGCTTGGAGGGGCGGGGCCTCGTCTTATTGGGCGGGGGGGACGGTGCTGGGTTAGTGGTTGTGGTGGTCGGGCTGCCATGGTTTTTGTGTGTGTGTGTGTGTGTGTCTCTCTCTCTCTCTCTCTCTCTCTCTCTCTCTCTTGATTTATCCCCAGTATTCCCTCCAGCAGACACTGCTCTCCCGTTGTTTTCTTGCTTGTCGCCGGTCTACCGCGTCATCACCGTGAGGGTGTATTCCTCTTCCCTTCCCTTCTGAAATATTAGTACTGCTGCTATCGTTGCTGCTGCTATTGCTGCTATTGCTTCCGCTGTTGAACGAGCCAGCAGAATCAATCGGATGCAGAACCAATAGCGACGGTGACGTAATTCCTCTCCCGGTATAAAGCACAGCAGGTTCGGGCTGTTCGGGTAATTGTATGTGGATATGTGGCTCGGCGGGGGTATTTGTAATGATCTCGGAGTCGTGTGAAGTTGAACAAATTGGAGGTTGAGGAGTGGCGGGACAGGATTGGAGCTCGAGCTCCGCGATGAAAAAGTCGGCGCCGCTCGGTCCGCCACCGGCTTCGCGGGGCCTATCAGTGGATCCTCTGGCTTGCAGGGGTATGGCCCTTAGTAATCGACTTACAAGGTCCAGGAACGACATCATCGAGAGGTTTGGGGTTAATCGGGGTTGGGGTTTGAAGACTTGGCCTTTTTGCTTTTCTTCCTGAGACTTTCTTTCTTTCTTTTTTTTTTTTTTGGAAGTCAATAGTTTGCTTGCAAAGTCCAGACTTGGTATTGGCCGCAGATCTCGTAGTTACAAGCTAAGCAGCTTATGACGTTTATTTTCCCCATTAGTTGATTCTGATTCCCCGTCTTTCATTTCATGAAACCCTCTAAAAGTAGATTGCCGGTGTATATATCCGTTTTTATCCTTTGTCGTTTCGGAGGGGTTACTTTGCGCCGCATTTATTGCAAGCCTGCCTCCTCGAAGTCTGCCGCACGCAACGGCCAAAATATCAACCGGTATAAGGCCCGTTGAAGCGTATTTAACGTTTATGCGTCCACGGGACCTAGCACTGTCAGATCAGTAGCTCACAATCCTTCTTGGGATTCATATAAACATACCATAGGATTCAACCCTTACACCAAACACATTCCCGAGTCCTGCTACTGCTAGCTGCGACTCGTTGGCAGCGCAGCTCATCTCAACTAAACTCGCTCTAATATTCTCTAATATCCTCTAATATTTTGAGGGATCACTACCGGTTGGGAGCAATGACAACCCCTCGAGTTTTCCTCGTTCGTCATGGCGAGACCGAATGGTCGTTGAGCGGCAAGCACACGGGCTTAACTGATATTCCATTGACGGCCAATGGAGAGAAGCGTGTGAAGGCAACTGGTCGAGCACTTGTAGGGGACGACCGATTAATTGTACCCAAACAAATCGCGCATATGTGAGTTTGCCTTCCCTTTCAACTGCGTGTATTTTCGGCATCATTTGAGGTTTTTTGCCTCAAGGCAAAGTTTGAAAACTAAGCTGGTTGGTTGCCTCGATGAAGAGCCCAAGATCCGGTGCCGGTACCACATGGAATTCTTCTCTGCCTTAGGTACTCTTAAGAATGTCACTAAACCGAAGTGCGACCCTTACGGATATACTAAGACTGCCCTAATTCTACACCACTTACCCCCTTTGAGTTCATTCCTTGTCATTACTTGAGCTAAATCAGTCGCTATAAGTATTATGGTGAATTCGAGTAACTAGCTCGAATCACGCTCAGGGGCTGATCATATTTTCCCATAGATATGTGTCACCGCGAAAGCGAGCCCAGAGAACCTTTGAATTACTCAATCTCGGTATTGCGGATCCCCTGCCGTGGAAGATTCACGGTGCAAAGCCCACTGACGCCAACCATCCTTGCAATGCGCGGGTCGAGGTTACAGAGGACATCCGCGAGTGGGACTACGGCGACTACGAGGGAATAACAAGTCCCGAGATTCGTGAAATTCGCGCCAAGCAGGGTTTCACCCAGAAATGGGATATCTGGAGGGACGGGTGTATCGGTGGAGAGTAAGTCACTAGTCTTGAGTTAATCAGCCAACGACAAGGATAGAATTGCCGATGGTTGCAATTAGCCTCGTCGAAGGCCCTATACTGAGTATAAAGGGAGGGCTAATATCATTCGAAGGAGCCCTGAAGACGTCACACAGCGCGTAGACCGTTTGATCAAAGAGATTCGGGAAATGTGGCACACGCCCGTAATCGGCAAACCCAAGTCAGAGGACCAATGTGCTGGGGATGTCCTAATCGTAGCGCATGGCCATATACTGCGTGCTTTCGCGATGAGGTGGGTAGAAAAGGCTTTGCAGGATGGCCCAGCATTTTTACTAGAAGCTGGTGGTGTTGGAATATTGAGGTAAGTGATTTTCCCTTGGACCAAGCATAGAACCACGTTAACAGTGACGCTATTAGCTACGAACATCACAACATACACGAGCCCGCCATACTATTAGGTGGTGCCTTTGTAGTTAGCCCATAGACAAACAGGGAGTATAAAAGCGCCATAATCTACGATATATACAATAGAATGTAATGTCTGGGTCAAACATTTCCCCTTATTCTAAAAATATGCACACCTGTGTCAACGAAATACTTATCATCTTCGAAAAGATTATACCCCGACATATCCAGAAGATAGTATCAATGCTGCTTGAATTTACACGCCATTACACAAGTGTATATCTTGTGTCACGCGGCCAGAGAGCTGAGAAATATAGGCATTATGCAGAGGTAGTCCGATGAAAGACTATCGACTCGAATTTTGCCTACACGAAATCCCCCCACGACGACGACGGCCCGGCACAATTACAATACGTACCTGGCAATTTTCTATAGCAACAGGCGGATCCATATAATTCCACAAGCACCCAAAGACGACATATATACCATAGCAACGGGCCATTTCTTCGGCCTGGGCCTGACTACTGAATGCATTGAGCCATCCCGTTGGTTTAATGGTGAGGTTTCCGGTACCGGTCAGTAAAATCTTATCAACTAGTTGCTAGAGTTTTCGTAGGTTCTGGATTCGAACCCCCTCGAGGGGGTTCGGAACCTAGGACTGAGCTTTTTGTATTTCTTTTTCCAGCTTCTATCTCTACATATCACGATATACGCATCCACGTCGTCTAGTCATACACGAGAAGGGCAATGGCATGCTTGATAAAGGGGAGGTCGTACGTTTACTATTTCTTTGACTAACATCTACAAATCAAGAAAATAGCGGTTATTTCATATATGATTCTCTGGGGCCTCCGCTGTTACCTTGCCTATCTTCAAGAATTAAGACATATCCACACACTTCTAGTCTGAAAACAAAGCAGCTACATGCAGCACTGCCACTTTATTGAATACAATCTCTCATGTTCGTTCGATAACTAGACCTAAGAAAAGAATACGTACGCGTGTGTCTCTCGGTTTATATCCATATCTTTGCAACTTCAAAATATGGAATTTCGGCTGGTGTGTAGGAGTCGTATAGCCCTTAGCTCGTATCAATATTATGTCGATGTTATATCTCCATGCGTAATGGGCAAATGTAGTAAGGCCGCTTAGATCTTGGTCGTGTAGTTTGGTAGAAATGACCTTAAAAATAAGAGATAGATCAAATATCATCTAGAGGTAGTTTAGGAGTCAGTTCACACGAGCCCCTTCCTCCTCCTCCTAGGCTATCATTAAACATTAGTGAACCACATTCCGGAGGCGCGGTGAGATAGCTAGCATATCCGCAGACAGCCCCGAAACTACGAAGGAGCCTCTGAGATTTGCTGCGTAAACACTACCTATTTACTTATGGTACACAGCATCTACTTACTCAACAATAAAGGGGTACATAACATAGCATTGACTACTGCTTATAAAATTAGCCACGGAAGCACTTAATCGGCCCTGCATGTCAGGAATGTCAAACATCACATCTGGTCCGTTCCATTATGATTTTGTTCGACGGTTGAGAAGACGCCCCTTCGAAGCCATAGCGGACCGAGCCCAAAGTTACCTTTCTAAGATTTGATCTACCTCCCGTAATAGCCCACGGACACTAGCCTAAAACGCCCAAGGTTAAGGCCCTCTTGCAAAGCGGTGTCCTCCTTGTGGCCTAAGAGGTAGGTATTCCTACCTACACAGGTGAGGGGCTCGTTGGGCCATTCCGAACTATCTCATTTACTATTGACGAGCCCAACTATTGTCTTCCTGTAATAGGCATTAATCTGGCCAAATTATAGTTACTAAGAGGACTAGCCACGGCCCGCGGCCGTATAGTTGACCACTCGGTCGTTGCTTTCGATGGGATGTATATTGAAACTACCTAGCTTAAAGGACTCTAATCCCAACCGAACTGGCGCAGGTTTGAAGTAGACTTGCCAGCACATAAGTTACAAGGTAGCCTCTCCCGTTGATGTTTTGGGAAAACATGTAGGTTCTACTACGGTATGCCGCATGACCATAGCCAAAACGCCAGCCTTGCTGCTAATTCTTCCCTGATGTATTTAGTTGTATTCCTACAAGTTTGTCTTTCGTCCCTTGCCCCGTATCCGTGTGAGAAGCTCGTAATTATCGAAGGGACGCCGGTTCGTAGCCTGGTAAGAGCTATGGCACTGTTTTATCGGTTTGGTTGGTATTACTGCTCGACTTTACTCTACCAAAGCCTCGGGCGTATTCGATAAACTACCGGCTCTAGTTGTTACGCGATTATGGCGAGTGCTCGAGAAACATGGCAAGGAGGTAGATATTTGCCCAGCGCCATCGAATATACTTTACTATCGGGATGATGGGGCGGGAGTTGGGCTTCGAATCGAAATGTACGCGTCCGTCTGTGGGAGAGCACCGGTGACGCGCTGTGGCATTAGCTATTACCCTAGATCGCAAAAACATCAACGGACTCTAGGCTGGCCAAGTAAACATTAAGTTTGCATCTGTGATCTTTGAGCAGGGTGTATCCGAGGTATAAAATTTAACAATCTCCGGTAGAAATCTCAGGTAGAATTTACCGGCGAAATCATATGTTGCGAGAATTTGTTAGCAATAGTAAGGATTGCAAGCGGATTACAAGCGTGCTTTCGGTACGTTACATCCCAGTGCTATGAAAACCGGCAGACGTTATTATTAGTCCTAGTGGTTGGTTATTATTAATCAATCATACGTAGACTAGGTAGCTAGGGAGAGAGAGGGCTTAGATACAAAGAAAGGTGCCTTGTCCGGCGGAAGAATCCCGCCCTCGTTGGTTTCAACCCGCGCCAGCACCAGCGTGTCAGATAGGCTCTTCCGGCCGGCTTCCTAGGGCGGCCACATTCTCGACCTAGCCAATTTTTTCCAAGGGGAGGGAAGGATTATGAATAGGCGAGAAAAAATGTTCCGAACCGAACCGAGCGATGGAGAACAAACAAACGTAAAGTTTCGGTACGGTACGTGGCGTCATCCGCTACGTCCCACAATGTAGTTCGTGGAGTCGTGATCAGGGTCTGTCGGTGATGATGACTCGATTCGCTATTCTGCACGCTAAGCCGAAGAAACGAAAGACAAAAGAAAACACAGCCTAGCCTACATATTTTGTATGCATGTAAGTCTGTAAAAAGGCGAGACAACGATCCCCCTTCAAGTCCGAGCCCCTTAACCTTCATCAGCAAGGTATCGAGTCTTACACTCTATACATATACACTGCCTAGCTACCTAACCTATCTATATACACAACATTGCCGCCGCCGCCAAAGGATTCTATGTGTTTGTGCGCGTCGGCTGTTGGCCTTTACCTAGACCTGCGCATCAGGGATTGTCCCGACTCTGTAATCTCACTAGAACGTAAAAAAAAAAATTTTTTAAAAAAAAAAGTAAAAAAAAAAAAGTGTACATTGCTAATACGAAGTATGTATCCCAACTAGCGGTTAGCTCGTCCTTTCGGGGGGCTGACTAACAGCTAGTCGGTACACTCCGTCTGCCTTGTTTACCATCCTGCGTTAGGTAGTTAAGGGTTACTTCGCGTGTCGGGGCTCCGCGGGAGCTAGAACGCTTTCATGTCACGGCCTCGACTTCGCAACGAAGCTGGGTCAGCCTTTGCCGTGTCGAGCTAATACCATGTAGTTACCTACACGTGGTAGGGCACTCGAGCGAACTTACTATCTATGTCCATATAGTTATCGATGTTTTAATCTGTAACTAACTACCTAGTTAGACTAGGAAAGAGATAAATCAAGTTTCAATATAACTAATTACATCATAACTAATATCATTACTTTCCATAACATCTTCCCTTAGGTAGGTACCTAGGTTAGGTACCTAGGAATATTGCAATATTGCCTAGGCTATAATGGAATGAATGCCCATTCGCGTATCTCAGCGAATTGTCTTCGCAGAATAGATTATCGACGAGTTTTTTATACCTTGCCTCAAGCTCGACGGAGATGTCGGGTTGAGCAAGGACCATCCCCTTCCCCTCCTTTGCCTAGATGCGAGCAATGCCAGTGCGAGGTCACGACGTCGCTGGCGTATGCGTGTAATGCGTCGCTAAACTCCCCAGAACGCAACGGCGACCGGGATACCGCTGTCAACGTCAAATTTGAATCGGCGAACCTGCCGGATCTCTTTCCGCGACTACGAGCAAAGTGCTACAGTAGCATCCATACCATCTACTACTATGTATGTACACTACCGGCCATGAATTGCCAACAAGCCAACAAGCCAACAAATTCTAGCCTTTTCTTATCAAACCTTGGCCCCTGTATCCACCTTAAGGGGGTCCCGCTGGCTCTAGTCCAGCGCAGCCACCCATACATATCATCGTCCCCTGAACTTCGAATCTGGTCGTCATCCCCTCGGCCGTAGACATATACCTTACTAACCCGTCTCTTGGAGGCTACCGCAAATATTACCGCTAGTTATCTAAAGTAAAACATCTAGAATGTCCCTTTTTGTATTATTGGTTTGCATGGTATTTTAAACACGTTGAATATGTCGGTTTCAAAAGCTCTTGTTTGTTAAAGACAGCAGCAAGGTAGCATTAATTCATCTAGGTCATAACCTATACTATGAATGCAACGCAAAAGACAACGCTTATAAAATCAAACGTGCAATAAAAACAAAAGTAACCACCAGTATTCGGATTTTTGCCGCGAGGCGAACCAATCTTCTCATCCCTTCTCGTATTCGAATCGAGTGGGCGTCTTTTTAAGAGATTAAAACGATACGTAGAACCGCTGTAGACAATAGATAAGGATGCCATGATCGAAGTTTGTCGCCAAACTAGTGATCTAAGTAGGTAGGAAATCTTTCGAGCAGCCCCGTTCTCCCATTTCCGCGTGATACGCCCTGGACTCGCAGCCGCCGCCCCAATAAACGAAATGCAAATGCTGCCTAAAGATGCACTACCCTCATAGATTGGGAACCGATTAGGACACCCAGAATTCATCACCGATTTATCATTCGAACAAGCCGCCAGCAGCCATCTAATTTCCCGACCCCTCCCGAGGTCTTTCTTTCAACAAGTTCTGCTGATTCCTCCGCTGTAATTTTGCTCCCGTGAAAACCAGTAGTCCTACTGTTGTGTCCGCCGATTCAGCCGCCCTAGCATTTTCTGATCGATATCGTTGCTAGGGCTAGGACCAGTGCCCATTATGTTTTCTAGACTCATCACAGAGCTCGTATTATGATGCGCTGCCGGAGGACCGGACGGGCTGCCTCTCGGCGGCGGCGTTCTGCTATCGTACCCAACATACGACACGGGCTGAGGTTGTAGTTGTGATAACGGTTGCAAGTGACTTGGGCTGCCGCTGGATGAAGGAGACCGCCGCCGAGGATTATCGTCCGGAAACGTGCTCGGTGGCGGTAATCGTACACCGTGCTCCTCGTCTGAAGGTCTTGGTCGCCGCCTTCCTGCATCAGACCTCTCCTCCGAGAAAGAACCGTACGAGTTAGTAGGCGATGGTAGTGG